TGCTGCTTGGCCTGCTGTGTTCATCCAGCTCTACACCTTGTTATCTCTGTAACATAATGCCAATAGGGTAATGATTGTTTTGCAACTGGTGCAAAAGGCCAATTTCACCATCCACAATCTCAAAGTTGTCACACATAGGAAGCACATTAGAAAAAGCTTTAGAAGTAGGCTGGAATGAATACACTTATATCTTGTCATTCTGTAGTGATAATGGTTACAAAACTAAACCATTCCTTCCAACAGGTGAATTCCCATCCCACAAGTGCCTTTTCTCATGGAACCTTTTCAATATCTATTCCTTTCTTCCTCATGTGTTAATCTAACTTCCACTTAAATGTCCCCTTGATAGTCACCTCCATTAATCTTTTGTGGCAGCACATTCCAAATACTTTCTGGCTAATGCAGTTTTGCTGTGACTTCCTTGTGACAATCTTGTATTATGGCCCCTAGTGCTGGTCTCCTCTCTAAGTGGAAACAAATTTCTCTATGTCTATCCTATCAAATGCATTCATAATCTTAAAATTCTCTAACAGCCCACCTAGTGGTCCTCTCTGAGAGAAAGGAATCCCAGAATGAAAGAGCTCGTGAGAGAATGCAACTTCCTGGAAAAATTAGTAATTTATGTCTCTTCTACACCAGTTAATGATACTCCATAATGATGAGACATGCCAATTGAAACAGTGCAGTTGAGAAACTTTTAGATGAGTTTCAATGCAGTTATGTGCCATCACTACACTTTGGTAAACAATGGGCAGCCAAGTGGGATGGAGACAACTGAAAGCTTAATGGCTGCAATAGCAGCATAGATAATGAAAAGGGGTCTCCACTTATGGCTGAGAATTCAAAAATACCAGCCATGACTATTCGACAGGCAGTCATTAATAATTCCAATATGAAATACTCAGAGTGGTTTGTCTGTGTAACCCACAAAGACAGGGAATGGTTAAGATGAATAACATGCATGCATTTCAAGGAAAACTAAACAAATACACAAAGGCAAAAGGAATAGAAGCAGAATACAGTAGAAACCTTTAAAGGTCTTGGATGAAGAGAGGTAGAAGAGGTTCAGGTGGAACATAAACCCACCATGTTGAGTGGCCTCCTCTGTTCTATAAATTCTACATCATATTTTTATGTATTCTTCAAGCATAACAAATTTTTGAGTATCACAGCTGATTATTAGCTTGACCTACTAGTCAGTTTTTTGTAGCATTGCACAAATCAAATGTAATAATTTGGTAAGGGATGGATTAGAGTGCACAAAATAATTAGATTACAGTACTCAGATGTAATCAGAGCTTATTCAAAGGAATAGGTTCTTTCTTTTTACACAACGATTTGTTTTTTTTATTATTGTACATAATTAAACAACATCACAAAAACAGATGACCTGGTCATTATAACATTGCTTTGTGTGGAACTGTTCAGTGAAAAATTGGCTGCCACGTTTTTTTACTTTATAACAGAGACCACATTTCAAAGTATTTCACAAGCTACGAAGTGTTTTGAATATCTCTTGATCATGAAAGGTACTTTGTAAATAAGTCTTCATTTCTTTTTCAGCCACTTTGCACAATCCATTACAGACATTACAGCCTCTGGTTAAAAAATTATCTTGTATGATGAAATTGTGAATATTTGCTTCATTTTCTTGACATTTCCCTCATTATTTTAGCTTCCATTATTCAAAATAAGTTAACAGCATCATTATAATGGCAGACTTCTTTCAGGGAAACACATTAAGCATCTGTACAGCATCATCCCTGGTGTGACTTCAGGACCTGCACGTCTATTTCCAGGTTAAAGAGGCTTTTTTTTTGCCAAGTTAATTAGTTTCTTACTAGTTGGTGCTAAATTTCCTCCATATTTTGGCCAGTGTGCTTTGAGTATAGAAAGATTACACACATAATAGGGGCATATGTCACACATACACTTATGCAGAATTTTTGAGGAAACTTAGGCTGATTGCATTCTGGGCAATTGAGATGAACTGGTTAACATTGCAATCACAGGCTAGGATTTAAGTCCATTGCAATCATTAAATAACAAAATAGATAACAAAGAAAATTGTGTAGTGGACAGCGAAGAAGGTTACCTCAGAGTACAATGGGACCTTGATCAAATAGGCAAACAGGCCGAGGAATGGCAGGTGGAGTTTCATTTAGATAAATGTGAGATGCTGCATTTTGATAGGGCAAATCAGGGCAGGACTTATATACTTAATGGTAAGGTTCTGGGGAGTGTTGTCGAACAAAGAAACCATGAGGTGCAGGTTCATAGTTCCTGGAAATTGGAATCGCAGGTAAACAGGGTAGTGATGAAAGTGTTTGGTATGCTTGCCTTTATTGGTCATTGCATGTTGGGAGGTCATGTTGCGGCCACTTTTGGAATCCTACATTCAATTCTGGTCTCCCTGCTATAGGAAAGATGTTGTGAAACTTGAAAGGGTTCAGGAAAGATTTACAAGGATGTTGCCACAGTTAGAGGGTTTGAACTATAGGGAGAGGCTGAATAGGTTGGGGTATTTTGACTAGAGTGTTGGAGGCTGAGGGGTTACCTTATAGAAGTTAATAAAATCATGAGGGACATGGACGGGGTGAATAGTCAAGGTCTTTTCCTCAGGGCATAGGTTTAAGGTGAGAGGGGAAACTTTTAAAAGGGTCCTAAGGGGTAACTTTTTAATACAGAGGATGGTACATTTATAGAATGAGCTGCCAGAGGAAGTGGTGGAGGCTGGTACAATTTCAACATTTAAAAGGCAAATGGATGGGTACATGAATAGGAAGCGTTAGAGCAATATAGGTCAAATGCTGGCAAATGGGACTAACTTAATTTAGAATATCTGGTCGGCATGGACAAGTTGGACCAAAGGATCTGTTTCCGTGCTGTTCACCTCTATGACTCTAACAAAGTCTATCTCATATACTTTCTCAATAATTATACAATACAAATCATTACTAAGTTCTTGATTAATCACAACAATCAATTTCTTATCAATTAGAATCAAATATGAAGTGACAAAAATCCTACTGGTGTGAATTTTGTAAAAATAGGTTCCCTCAAGCATTCTGCACTTAATGCATGTCATAAAATTGAAATTAAACTGCACAATTTATTAATTTCAATGTGTATCCTTTATAATGATAATGGTACAGAAATTCTACTGAGAATTATAAGAAAATAGATGCATGGCCTGCTAATCCAACAACTTGGCAGCCAAATTGCTACATCTCCACATTGAATGTACTTTTCATATCAGAGAGTCATCCATACTATTCTGTTTAAGAGAACAGCATTCTTATCTGCCATGAATAATTTTTTTTGCCCTCTTGCTCTGTACTAACAGCAGGAGGATGACTTTCAGTTCTGCTGGCAAATCTCCATCTGTGTTTAGACTTGCACTTAATTAATGACCATGGTTCGAGATCATGGTCAGAGTGACAGAGATTTTAAGACCCCTGATAGAAAGGCTATTACAGGCAAGATTACTGTGATCAGGTGGAGGATCCTGTCCTTGAGATACTCAGAAACGGCTAAGGAATTGTAAAAGTGCGCTCCGTTCTTACATCCAACTTTCTTCTCAACCCTCTGACATTCAACATTTCCACTGCAATGAGATTCTGTGCTTAATGTAAACTGCGATGTTCAGTTTGACATATAGCAGCTGAGCAGATGAGCCATTCCTATTTAAGGCATATTCTAGGCTGCTCTCCAAGACTAAGCACAGAACACTGCGGAGCCAGCATTGCAGCCAAGAACTTGCTTACCGAATGGATCCACTAAAAAGAACAGGGTCTTGCAAAATAATGGAAAGTCTTGAGCGAAGAGTATGAAGAGGGAGCTTGCTGATATCTATTCCATCAATGATGATTTTACCTATTATATAATCATAAAGCACAAAGTTAAAAGCACAATGGGTTATGTTTTGTTCAGAGTTTAATGTCATTCTTGAGTTCATTGCGACTTGAGCCATTTGTTTATCTTTTACCAGTTAAGAGACTCATATAGTTTACAGATTGATGGAACCTTTATACTCTTCAATTGGGAATTGACATCAGGGTCAGACAGTCAGAAAGAGAAATAATTTAATCATAAATTACAACTACTAAATGACTACCACCTAAGCTGTAAACCAGTGACTGAGATAATGTTGTGCTTCCTTGCAGTAATAAGGGGTTTACAATAAATTTTACTGGCTTGCAGCACTGGCAGACTGCATGATGAGTGGCAGGACTAACCTTCAAATATATCCACCATCCTGAAGAAAGCCAGGGACAGGGAAGATTTTCCACTGCCGGTGCGCCCACATATCCCAACCTGGAAAACAAATACAACACACACATACATTTGCAAACAATTGTTTCTTTATTTGTGTCAAATGGACTTTAATGTATGAATTATTAAACAGAAAATCAGTCTGTATAATATTTTGATTAACGCATGTTCAGTGGAGCAAATAGACATACTAATTGTGCATTAATCTGTGGTAATATGGAAGTGAGATATCCAATGTCATTCCTGCCTTCAAGGTTCAGGAGAAAGGGTAAAGGAAAGCAGTGGGGAACGTAGACAATCATTTTCTTATATCCTGACTTATAGCCTTCAGCCACTATTATTAAAATCAATTTCTAGTGAAAGAAAACAATAATTGTGGGAAGACTGTGGATCAGGATAAATAATGCACAAAAAATTAAAATTTATCACAAAGAGTAACAAATGGCAAAACTGTGAATAGAGTGAAGAAAGGAATTTTATATTTTAGTGATGTTGAATGCTCAGTGAATTCCATTGATGGAGATCACTCGTTTCCTTTCTGCATTGTGAGGCAGAGTCTTTTCTACTCCATCTGACATTGAGATTTCATTACCAAAAGAGAGACTTATGTTTATATATCATTTTCACTATCACCGGATGTCTATAAGTACTTTACAACCCGGGAAATAATCTTCAAGTGTTTTCAGCATAGGAAAGTGTGCAATTTACACAAAATAAGGACTGAATACTGTGTTCTTAGTGATGTTGACTGAAGCACAAATATGGCCAGAAATCCTGGAAATAACTGCAACTGTGTTTTTAATTGAAATAGTGCAATGGGATCTTTTGTTTTCACCTGAAAAGGCAGATGGGGCCCAAGTTCATCACTTTCTCTGACAGACGGCATCTCCAACAATGCAGCACACCATTAGTACTGTACTGGAGTGTCAACCTTGACTTTTATGCTGAAGAAGTTAAACACAGAGAACCTTGCTCGGTTGCAAATAGACAAGATGGGAAAAAAATTTATTTCAAAACGTTCTGAGAAAATATGGCAATTTTAAAAAAACTGACTTCATCTCTCAGTGGGTATAACTCTTAATTCCAGGCAGAAGTCCCTCTTTAGTCACTTGAATACATAATCCAGGCTGTCACTACATTCTGTGTATTACAAGGAAATACTTCACTGTCAGAGGTGCGGCTTTTTAAGATGGGGGTCAGATCGAGTTTCCTTACGCCTTTTTACACAGATGAAAAGGATCCCATGGTGCATTTTTAAATTTTTTATTCCTCGATGAACATCACTAAACCAAATTATCTGCTATTATCATTGTTGGCTGCCCAAGACAATGAACAACACTTTAAAAAGATTTCATTGGCTCACATTGGGGTGTCCTGAGGATCATGAAAGGTTTTATATAAAGATGAATTTTTCTTCAGTTTCGTTGGCTGCACCCACCAAGGCGCAACCATCGTTGACCCCTTTAGATTAGTATGAGAGATACGGTTAAAAGCCACGTTATTTTGTTATTACTCATTCATGATATGTAGGTGTTGCTGGCTGGGCCAGCATTTATTGTCCATTCCATCCCTATTTGTGAAATAACTCCATAGAGGCCAGTATCCCATCACCAAGTCACCCTTTATGTACACATAGAGAGTCCTTGACGCTGATCCAGCTCCCTCAGAGCCAGCTCTCAGAGTGAACAGAACCCCTGACACTCTTGTTTATATCTGTCAGCCAGGGCTCCCTGATTGACCCAGGTTAACAGTCCCAGTCAGGGAACTCATATTCTATGAGGTCCACCTGGCTGACCTTGTAACAATCACTATAATTTGTCCTTGAGAAGCCAGTAAATATGGCATAGATATATCAACAACTCTGTCAGGGATGGAGTTCCAGGATTTTGATCCATCAGTCATCTGGACTGGCATCTATTTTTTTCTGTCATGATTGCTTTGAAGTTGTTTGTCCTGTCACAACTAAATCCTGATATTTAAGGGCAAGGGGGTGCAGTGAAAATAACTGGCATGCTTTGCAAAGATTAACCATTGGAAAAGTAACAATACACAAGGTGGGATCTTTACCAAGATCGTGGGAAATTCAGAGCTGTATTCTAATGCTTTTATTTTTATGTCTTTTAAATATATCATTAAACCCTTGTACACTTTCCACAACATCAACCACTACTGGCTGAAAACCAAGTATATGCCTTTGTTCAGTGTCTGAATAAGTGCAGAGATGTTTGGAAATCAATTTTTGTTCAGCTCTCCAAGTTGCCGTCAACATTGTTTGCACCAAACAAAACCTCCACCATTAAACACTTTATAATTAACATGGTTTTAGAGAAGTTTGAACCCAAATCCCTCAAGAGACATGTCTCTTTTGATTCAAGTTAATTTACATAAATGGCATAAAAGATAATGATCTCTGGAATCTTACCGGAGCTATGGGAGAATTGGCACCGAGTAAATAAGATCAGGGAGTTGAATACATGGCTGAAAAATCGATGTAAGAGAAATAGTTTGGGTGGTACGGTAGCTCCGTGGTTAGCACTGCTGCCTCGCAGCAGCAGCGACCTGGGTTTGATTCCAGCCTTGGGTGAGTGTGTGTGGAGTTTGCACTTTCTCCCTTTGTCTGCATGGGTTTCCTCCCACAGTTCAAAGATGTGCAGGTTGGGTGGATTGGCCATGTTAAATTGTCCATAGTGTCCATTGGATGTGCAGGCTGTGTAGATTAGCCGTGGTTACAGGGATAGAGGGGATTGGGTCTGAGTGGGATGATCTTTGGACGTTTGGTGTGGACTCAATGGGCTAAATGGCCTCTCTCTGCATTGTAAGGATTCTAATGATAGGCGTTGATAAGGCACTGGCACCAGTACAGGGGAAGAGAAAGCTCAGCCATGAAGGGGCCAGAAACTTTGGAAAATTGTCTTAATGGGGTTGCAGAGTGTGCTTTAAACTGAATAGCTGACAGTGGGGCTAAGTGGAAAATTCACGTGAGATGAAATTTGGAAGGGGGAACAACAAGGCATACTGCAGGGATGTGAGGTAGCTAATGATAACCAGAGTGTGGCGGCAAGGGACAATGTACAAATATAAAAGGGTCAGTGTGGGGAAAAATGATGAAGGACAGAATTCAAAGCTGGTGTTTATCCTCAAATCCACTTTCATCCACTCCCCATATCCCTTGATTCCTTTAGAGACCAAACATTCTCCATGTTAGTATTAAATAGACATATTGATATTGCATTTGCAACCTTCTGGGATTTTGTTGGATCTGTTGAATTCCAAAGATTTACCATTTGAGTGAAGAAATTTCTCCTTTGTTCAATCCAAAATCATCTTCCCCTTATCCTGAAACTGTGCCCATTTCTAGCCTATCCAGGCAGGGAGAGAACCTGACAGTATCTATCCTTTTTAGCCCTTTCACATCTTGTTGTGTTTCAATGAGATCACCTCTCATTGCTGTAAAGTTCAGAGGGTATAGGGTGAATTACTCAGCTTTTCATGTTAGAACGTCACGAGACAAGTTAGTTTTACCCTACTGATGATGTGTTGTTGCAATAGTAACCCTGCTCAGTACAAGAGGAACTGGAGGTTCGGACATCTGGTGTATGTGCTTGTCTGAGGAGCCAGTGGTGCGAAGCTACCATCTGTAGGATTGTGACTGAAAGCCTTTTCATAGTATTATAGATGGTTACAGCACAAGAGGCTATTTGGGCCTTTACATCCATGCTAATCAACAAAGATCTGACTACATTATCCCCATTTTCCAGCTCGTGACCCATAGCTCTGGAGGTAATGACAACACAAATGAATATCTAAATACTGCTTCAATGTTACAAGAATTTCTGACTCAACCACCCTTTCGGGCAGTGGGTTTCAGATTCTCTCTGGGTGAGAAAATTATTACTCAATTCTTCTTTTACCCTTCTACATCTTAACTTAAATTCATGCCTCCTGATTATTGACAGCTCTACTAATGGTAAAAGTGAATTTCTATCTATACTCCTCAAAGCCTGTCAAAATAAGCAGCTACCAGTACTGTTTGTCTGTAGCTCCAACACAGCACACTAACACAACTCAACAAAAAAAGAGATCCTATACCTCTGACATGAAAATTAACATAAGTCTTGTAGAGCAACAGTATTTGAGAACCAGTGAGATAAAAGCCAAATCTGAGCTTTGAATTTGAAATTTCTTTAATTGTTAGGCTGTTGGTATTACCTGGTTGATGTATGAGGTTCCCTCTCGTTTCCATTTCACTGTGGAGTGCTGTGCCTGCCCCATTGTCTACAATAAGTTTGCAACATTTATCCAATTTCTTACAAGGACCATTAAAGAATACGATTTGTAAGATTCTCTTAATTACCTTTTGACCTGGTGTGATGTAGGCTTTGACGTGTTTAAGAACAGGTTTGAGAGCTGGGTCATATCGAACACAGAGATCCTGAATCTTTATTTCTCCTTGCTGCGGCCAGTCTTCTGGGATTTGGGATGGGTCTATATGGAAAGTTAAGATGTAAAATTTACATATAATCTCAAACAGATGTTGGTAGATCTTAGGACCTGGCTTCCATCCATTGTTACTTATTCTAAATCAAGTCACATATAAGCACTTCAGAACAACTTACCTACTGACTTTCCCTGCCCTTGCTCAGGAAAGTGACACACACTGGATTCTAGAACTTGCCGTAAGGGAAATTGCAGGTGATAACCAACACCCACAGACTGAGTGACATAATTTATAATTGTCAAAGGTCCCAGTGTGATTCTTTGTTTATAGATCTGTAAAAGTTCCAGCAAATTGAGAGACGTAAGGTTCAAAAATGAGCCCAATGTACCTAGAACAATACCTGTTTTTAAAATAATTCATTCATGGGATACAGGATCACTGGTTGATCAGCATTTATTGTCCATCCCTAGTTGCCCTTGAGAAGGTGGTGGTGAGCTGCCTTCTTGAACTGCTGTAGTCTATGTGTAGGTAGACCCACAATGCTGTTCAGGAGGGAGTTCCAGAATTTTGATCCAGTGGCACTAAGGAAATGAAATCAATTTCTCAGTCTGAATGATGTGTGACTTGGAGGGGAACTTGTAGGCGGTGATGTTCCCATGTGTCTGCTACTTCTGTCTCTCGAGATGGAAGTGTATTTAGAAGGTGATGTATAAGGAGCCTTGGTGAATTTCTGCACTGCATCTTGTAGATGGCACACACTGCTGCTATTGGTGGAGGACGTGGATGCTTGTGGATGTGATGCCAATCAAGTTGGCTGCTTTGTCCTGGATGGTGTCAAGCCTCTTGTGTGTTGTTGGGGCTGTACTCATCCAGGCAAGTGGGGAGTATTCCATCACACTCCTGACTTGTACTGTGTAGATGGTGGACAGGCTTTGGGGAGTCAGGAGGCAAGTTACTCATTACAAGATTCCTAGTCTCTGACCTGCTCTTGTAGCCACTGTATTTATATGGTTAGCACAGTTTAGTTTCTATTGAATGATGACATCCGCAACCCCCACCTTCCGCAACCCTCCTGCTGCCAAAAATGTGGGTATTGAGTGATGGTAATGCCATTGAATGTCATGGAGTAATGGTAAATTCTTTGTTAGAGATGGTCATTGCCTCGCATTTGTGTGGGGTGAATATTACTTGCCACTTTTCAGCTCAAGCCTGGATATTGTCTAGGTCTTATTGCATTTCATTATGGTCTGCCTCATTATCTGATTTGTAGCATCTGTTGTCACAAGAGATTAACCATATGAGGAGGTTTAAAAGTTCTGAATGGCTTTAAATGAATGGATGCTGTTTTCAGTGATAAGTGTGTAGGAGTGAGAGTTATGTTAGATCATTAGATGATTCATTATTTCTTTCATCTCCACATTGCTGCTGAAGTTCTGCCCTATGAGAAACCGAGTGAGTAGCCATGGAGTTAACTTGTTCAAATTGCTGTTGATTTTCTCCAGTATTACTGTCCTAAAATCTTCGCCAGTGTGGCCTTTATCTGCCTCAATGTTTGTGAACAACAATGTAATATTTGCAATTTTACCCTTCTTTGGTACCATCCCATATCACAGGAAAATTAGAAGCTTTTAACATTAAACAGTGCAACTGCATTACCTTTTAATCTACAATACATAAGTGAATTCAAGCCTAGTTTATCAATCTACCTCGGAATTTAGCCTTTTTGGCTCCAGAATCATTTGTTGTGAATCGCTGCTCCAAGGAATACATATCCTTTCTGAGGTTCGTTGGAACTGAAACATGCAATATTCCAGAGAGGGTGTAACCAGTACTCTGTACAACTTTAACATAGGTACCATCTCTGAATATACAATGGACTGTGTTGTGATATCGTATTAAAAGCAAAGTAATGAGATGCTAGAAATCTAAAATAAAAACAATGTCCTGGAGAAACTCAGCAGATCTGGCTGAATCCGTGGAGAAAGAAACAAAGTTAACGTTTCAAATCCAAGATGATTTTTTCTTGGAACTGTTACTGTACTGTCTCCCTGGGAAAGGGGTTCCTCTCTGGGCATGGAATTGTGGAATCTTCCCCCTTATACAGGGGAAGTCCAAGCAAGAATTGATCTTGTGTGAAATAGAATAGCTATAGAAATTCAGACAGCTGATAAATTTGTTTGTCAGTGGGAAAATTAAACCACATTGACTTGGAAAGCATCATATCTGATCCCTGTCCTGTGTACAGTGGTCAACTGGAACAGATGTAAGGCTAGGGTGGAATAGAAGACATTACTGAGTTACTACTGCTGGTTAGTATCCAGGGACTGCTGGAAAGAGCAACCAAGTGAGAAATAGGCGAGGATGGAATTGTGAAGCCCTCTAGCTGAGGCAGCCCCGAATTCCCATTAACTATGCTCACAAATAAAGAATTGTCAAATTAGCAAGATACTGCTATTGCTAACAAGCAAATCAGAATGCCAAAAGAATTATTTTCAGCATTACTACTATTGTAAAATTTTACCTGATGTGCTTAATGTTTATACATCTCAGAATATCAACATGTATCAATTTTTATGAAGTTCATTTTTATGTATAACTAAACAAAGCATTACTGTAAACTGGAACAGGAACAGTTCTATCAGCTATTTCTTTTTACTTCTAGGCTTATGTTCCAAGGGATGGATTGTATCTGTAAATCATACCAATGGTTCCTTCATAATTTTCACTCTCAATGTTCAGGAAACTGTTCACCTTCTTCACAGCTCCCATCTGCACTTCCAAATCAGCGAGATTTCTCACTACCCAATTAAGGTAATTACAAACCTATGCAAAGAAAAAAAAATCCATTTAAATAATGACTTTTAGGACAACCCACAGTGCTTCACAGCTAACAACAGTAACTTGTATCTTTAATGTAATGAAATATCCAAAGGTAGTTCATAAAGTATGACATTGAGTCACTTCAGGAGATATTAGATTATACTACCAAAAGCTTGTTCTAAAGGGCGTGGGTTAAGAAGAGACAGTTAGGTAGAGAGACTGAGAAGAGTGGGATGGGACTTCCAGAACTGAAAGCATGGCAGCAAAGGTGAAGCTTCTATAATTGGGAATGAACAAGAATCATAGAAGCCAACATTCCACCGATTAGCTGTTCTCCTTAATATATTGAAAAAAATTGATCAAATCACTCCTTAACCATGTAAGTTTTGGGGATTTCAACCTATACTTTCTCTAATCTCTCCTTGTAATTTGACTCTTTGAGTCGAGTTTATTCATTAATGGGATTAGGGTGTTTCACTGGCCGGGCCAGCATTTGTTGCCTATCCCTAATTGCCCAGAGAGCAATTAAGAGTCAACCACATTCTCGAAAACCTGATTAAATCATAAAACCTGCCGTAAAATAACAAGCCAAAGAATGTCTTGTAACTGACAAATACAACAATTAGTTTTGCATTGAATGGAAATCTAGTTAAAACATTTCAGAAATGTTCAGTTTGATTCTGTGTTCTGGCACAAGCAGAGATAGATTGCAACATCAGACATGATCCTAGTGCAATCAGGGAGATGTTGAGGGTTTGGAGGGTGTCTATCGTTGACAAAGGCAAACTGGGTCTACTTACCGTTAATGCATAGGTCAGACCAAATCCCACAAAACCAGATGAAAGACCATAGTAATGGGAATACGTTATGGTGGCTAGAGCTGCAGTGAGGACAATGTAAGCACCAAGGTAGTCCTGTTAAAATCAATAGGAAGAAGATATTAGTTTACTGTAATGTGAGAAGCTGTCTACAATTAGCACAGATTTCCCGCTAACCTGATAAATGCAACTTACTTGACTGTGCGTTTTATTTTGCTCTGACCCATTTCATTTCAATTATATATCAGATCAATTATTTACTAGAAAATATCTTTGAAAAATATTGTTACTAATATGAAATGTTATTTGCAAAATTCAGACCCCTGAACAGAGTGCAGTGTTTGCAACAGATATAAGTCCATGAATAGTTACAAATAAATAGTGTCTGGTGGATTTGAAATTTGAGTGTGTTGGTCCTTCTTTAGTTTGTTGTATTCACTATTTGCAAACTTCTTGAGTAAAATTGTAACCAAAGTATATGCAAGTAAATATGATGTTTATGAGCAATCAATTCAGCTGAAAAAGAGCAGATGTACCATGGAATTGCTTATCTCATTGAAATATGCCATGATACGGAGATATTTGGGATCCACTGGCATACGGTATCCTTGGCTTTATTAATAAGGGGAGCTGATGTTGAATTTATTTAAGACACTTGTTAGATCTCAGTATTGTGTACACTTGTGCGTGCGCATTATAGGAAGGATGTGAACGCATTGGAGAGAGTGTAGAAGCAATTTACATGAATGTTCCCAGGAATGAGAAAATCTCAGGTATGAGGATAGATTAAAGAAATTGGGACTGTCTTCCTTGGAGAGAAGAAGGCTAAGAGGAGATTTGATAAAGGTTTTCAAAATAATGAGCAGGCTGGATAGATTAGATAGGGAGAAACCGTTCCTGCTCCTAAATGGAACAAGAATGGGAAGATATAGGTTTAAAGTGATGTGCAGAACCAGTGCAGGTTGTTTAACAGTTTGTTACACGAAAAAAAAACATTTCCACACAACAAGTAGTTAGGGTACAAATGCTCTGCCTGGAAATGTGGTAGAGGCAGGCTCAATTGAGGCATTCAAAAGGGGCATTGGATGATTATTTGGATAGAAATGAAGTGCAAGGGAATGCGAGGAGAAAAAAACTGAAGATTGGTACAAGGTAACAATGCTCATGTGAAAAGCCAGTGCAGGAATGATGGGATGAATGGCTTCCTTCTGCACAGTAACAATTCTGAGAATCTGTGATATGAACATCTATCCTAGAGAAAGTAATCTGTTCGAGATGGACACACAATGTGAATCAAGGCAACAGTGAGCAGGAGTGCATGTTTGTTCCAGTGCAGGGGCAGGATGCATTTTGTGTTCCTGATCAGCAACAGAACCATTAGTGTTGGCTCTCACAAAGCTTCCCAGTGAAGGAAGGCAGCTGTCTTCTGCAGGAAACAAAAGTATTTACATTTTGACAGAAAGTTTCACGGGCTCACAATGACCTACAGCACGTTATAGTCAACATTATACATTTATTGTAAGTGTAGTCCCTGTTGCAAAGTAAGCAATGGGACACCAAGTTGCACACAGCCAGCTCTGGAAACAGCAATGAACTAACAATCAGATGATGGAGAAAATTACTGTAGATGCTGGAATCTGTACCAAAAACAAACAATGCTGGAGATCACAGTGAGTCAGGCAGCATCCATGGAGAGAGAGCAAGCTAACGTTTCGAGTCTAGATGATTCTTCATCAGAGTTGAAGTGAAGTGGGGAGGGGGCAGGATTTATGGAGGGGGGGGGTGGTTGGAGTGCTGTGGGATAAAGGATTCCCCTCCCCCCACCCCAGTGGAACTGTCTGTTCTTTCCAGGCTGGCAGTTAGACACACCACTGTTCTGCCATTCTCACATTCTGAGCACTTAATCTGAATTATCAACATCCTTTCTTCCCCCCAACACTCCAACATCACCTCCCAACTATTGCATAAATGCTACCCCCTCCACACTTCAGCTCTGATGAAGAGTCATTTAAACTCAAAACATTAGCATGCTTTCTCTCCATGGATGCTGCCTGACCCACTATGATCGCCAGCATTGTTTGTTGTCAGTAACAAAATCAGATTAATTGGTTTCTGTGAGGCTGGTAAAGGCATAAACATTAGTTGGACACCAGGGGAGGTCTCCTGGTCTTCTACAAATAGTGCTAGGGGCTTTTAGATCCAACAGGAGAGGGAGGTCGTTGTCTTGGTTTGATACCCCGTTTTAAAGGAGACACCTTCGGCAATCCAGCACCTCTTCAGCCCAGGTCCTGTGTTCAAGTTCCAGAGTGAGATAGTAACCCATAACCTGCTGACTTAGAGATGTGTTCTACCTGTGAAAAATGGCAGATCCCTGATTTATTCGTATAAAAGCTTTCTGTCTCTAGAGAATATAGACCAGTTTCCTCAACCTCTTCCAGGAATCAGTCTAATGCCTCATCTTCCACTATTCGATGTTGAGGACACATCACTTACTTAAAGACTTCTATCAATACCATTCCACTGCTTTAAGAAGTATTCCTCTAATAGCTAATCTATTAATTGCAGATTAATTGCCTTCTACGGTCACATAATGTAGCCGTTATTAAACTAATACCGATACAATGCATTGTCAACTAAAGAAAATGTTGGTAAGGAATGGGTATAGGTGATAGCCATTTCATGATCCATTTCTTAGGAAATGACCAGAGTCAACTTACTTGGTTTAAAATTCAAACAAAATATAACTGTTAACTGTCAGTCATCATTAACTGGTGCATTCTCCAAGGCAACACCTCTCCAATCAGAGACCATTTGCTAACTAATTGGCCACTCACCTCTCATACAGTACAAATGTTGTTTTCCTTTAACTTTGTTATTCCTTGTGAATTCACTTGATGAATGAAAGACAAAAGTTTCACTAACATATGAAGTTTCCCTTTTTTTAAAGCAACTCTCAAGTCCTCTTCTACCAAATGATTATTGACAAGAAATTACCTACAGTCACAGAGTTATAGAGCACAGAAACAGACCCTGCGGTCCAACTCGTCCGTGCCGACCAGATATCCTAATTTAATCTAGTCCCATTTGTCAGGTTTTGGTCCATATCCCTCTAAACCCTTCCTATTCATACACCCATCAAGACGCCTTTTGAATGTTGTAATTGTACCAGCCTCCACCACTTCCTCTGGCAGCTCATTCCGGAGTGCTACAAATATGTAGTTCTTCAATATTGCAGCAATTAATACATGGAGAAAGAATTCCTCAAGCTGCCTAGATCTAAAACCTTGATACTTCAATAATAAGATTAAATAAAAGCACATTTTATAGCTGTACATTATAATCAAAAGAAGAATAGCTATACTTGGCACAGTGAACATTTTGTTTGAAATCATGATCAGTATTGTTGGGGTCTGAAATTTCAGTGGTGCAGAACACATTTTATATCATCTCTTGATAAATTCATGCTTGAACTGAACAACATGAAGAGAAAGCACCTATCGTAGACCTTGACATCTTTTGAAGAAAACAAGGCATCCTTAAGTAAATTTACACTTTATATTTGCATTAAAAACTAGTTTGACGATTTGTAACTGAGAACAGAGAACAATATGGGTGGTTGCTGGGCAAATTTTCACTGACTTGAGCGATGATGTCTACACAGACATAAAAGGAAGCCTGTGCTATTTTTAAACTCTGCAACATTGGCTTTCAATTCCTAAAGCTTCTCACACCATTTGTTAGTGTACTTGCAATTGTGAACACTTTTAAGAGTATAAATCTCTCCCTTCATACCGTTCTGACCTCCAACCATCTGTTAGCTGCTGACAGGAACAAATAGGCGATGTTGTTGGCATCTGTGAGCTCCAGCATACGCTGCTTAAACCTGGTTTCATGTCTGCAATAGAACCAGATTCCTTATTTTCGAATCATTTTGTGATTACTGTTTTGCCAAGCTCCATATACCGACTACATTCATAATTTTTCAGACATTGTTTTGCTCACTCTGTTCATTGAGTTCAAAAATAGAGTTTGCTTTTCCACATATCTTATACATTTTTCCCATTTTAATCTCTCCCACTTCTAAACAAGGAGCCTGCATGGTTTAAAATTATCCTTGTGTTTCACAGAACGACTACTAAAAGCCAATTTTCCTGAGTCATCGTCTGTTTGGCACACACCCTACGGTTGGCATATGGTGGGATATATGTTCCTGCTTCTACCGAAAGCATTAGCTTTGTTTCTCTCCACAGATGCAGCCAGACCTATGGGGTTGGAGGAATAACATACCACACCCCTCCCCCCCCCCAGCATATTTAAACAGGGGGAACAGCATCTCTTAAAATTAAGTAGGTGGTCTGTTCACCGCTTCCCTGCTGACCCCCAACCTTCCTCCTATATTACAGTTGGCAGGGATTTCATCAATGCAGGGTGGCAGACCTTCCACCTGTAGCCCTCAATTTGACCATTAATTGGCTAATAAGCCCATTTTAAATTATTCATTCATCAGACTTAGGCATCGCAGGCTCGGTCAACATTTTTTGGCCATGCCCACTTGCCCTCAAGAAATTAGTGGTGAGCTGCCTTCTTGAACAATAGCAGTCCAGCCACAATCTATTAGGAAGGGAGCTTTAAGATTCTGACCCAGTGACATTGGAGGAATGGTAATAAACCTTCAAGTCAGGATGGGGTGTGTGGTTTGGAGGGCAACTTGGAGGTGATGGTGTTCCCAGGTATCTGCTTCCCTTATCCTTTTAAGTGGTCGAGGTTGTGTGTCATGGAAGGGCTTAAATGAGCTTTGCTGAGTTACTGTAGATGGTATACATTGCCGCAACTGTGCGCCAGCGATTCAGGAAGTGAATGTTGTACGTATTAGATAGAGTATCAACCAAGTGGATTGCTTTGTCCTAGATGGTGTCAAGCTTCTTGAGTGTTGTTGGGGCTGCCCCCATCCAGGCAAGCAGGGAGTCACATGTGACTTTGAGTCAGAAGGTGAGTTACTCACCACGCTGATGCTGCACCTATTCAATGCTGATGAGGGCATCCGCTGTTGGCTGCACAAGGGAGAGGATTCACCAGTCAGCACCAATGTTCAGTGCTAAGGTGAGCGTTAACACATCTGGAGCCGCTATCATTCAAAGATGTTTATAGAATACAACAAATATGGCATTCAATGCAGGAAGATTGTGATGCAGGACAATTACCTGGAACTTGGAATTGCTGTCTTACCGGAATGCACGGATTGTTGTAAGCCCTTCTGCTGTTTCAGAAAAATGGCACAATAGAGGCAATTGCGTACTATCATCCAGTTCCTGAAGATCCCTTCACAAATTGGAAAGAAAGAGTTTAGGCAGGACAAGGCTTTCTATCTATAGTTGTACAAGTTGGCAAGTCATTTTGTACTGGAAACATTAAACAAGCATCTACAAAAGGCAGAGTGGTTTTAATGAGGATTTTAACTTTCATCGAGATTGGAATAAATGGATCAACACATCAGGAAAAAAAAAGGTGAATTTTAAGAGTAGGCCCAGAACAGTTTTCAGCAACAATATATCCTAAAATCAACAAGGCATTACATGTCAAGTCACATTTGATTTTGTGTGTAATTAGATGGTAGCACTCTTGCCTCTGAGTCTGTAAATATTGGGTTCAAGGCCATTGGGCAAAATATGCCAGTCTGTTATATTTTTGACCTAACTTTTGTTATACACCTTTTTAATAACTGGTATCCTGCACCAGACTGGGGGCATCAGCTTGTGCTAAGGAAGTGATGTCACACTGCGGCCACAGAGGCAAAGTTAGGGTTCAGACCTTGGAGGAGGATAGGCCATGGTGGAATTTCAGATAGCATGGAGAGGGTGGAATATCTGTTCTGAATTTGTTAAGGTTTGTAAGAATTTCACTCTTATCTGTGGGCAAAAGCAACCATTGAAAGATTTTTTTGAAGAAATATGGAGTGTTTAGCATGGTTTAGTTTTTGGTTTTAAATTGTTAAATTTTCTTTTGTATTAACGGTAATGGAGTTCTATTTATTTTCATTTATCCATAAAGTGTCAGAATTAAACTGTGACATAGGCAGTGTGAGGTTGGCATAAAATAAATTGCCTTGTTCTTCCAGAAATGCAAGTGATCTTGATTCTATAATTTGGGGTTAGGTCCTTGGTTCTGGATGGGCCATCCTGGGGATCTATTCAAAAATTGACACTAAAGAACCAGGAATACTTGGGCCATATTCAATGCAAAAACTAGCTGCATCTCATCTGAGAGGTTAACTTATATCTCAACTCACTGCATAAATCTTTAACAAAACGGAGATTCAGTTGTGACCTGCTTCAGAAAATGTTTTAAATTTTCATACTCTTGAATGTTACTTACTTTGAGGCAACCCGGAAGTACTTCTGTATGAAGTAAAAGGCAACAATAAAGGGCAGTAAAGCTGTAAAGAAGATTGGTGTGACGTACAAGAGCACACCTAATGCCGACAGGCAGAGGAAGGTTGATCTTGTTAAGGACTCCAGTGTTGGTGGGATATGCTGGGAAAAAAGGAAGAAATATTTGTGTTTACACAGTTTCATTCATGCCCATGACAGTCTCAAAGCACTGTATGGGCACTGAGGTATTTTTATAGTGTAATCACTGTTGCAATGTCGGAAATACAACATCCAATTTACACACACCTATCTCTCACAAGATAGTGAGATAACACAGCGTGGAACTGGATGAACACAGCAGGCCAAGCAGCTTCAGAGGAGCAGGAATGCTGACGTTTCGGTCTGGACCCTTCTTCAGAAATGGGGGAGGGGAAGGGGATTCTGAACATAGAACATTACAGCGCAGTACAGGCCCTTCGGCCCTCGATGTTGCGCTGACCTGTGAAACCACTCTGAAGCCCATCTAACCTACACTATTCCATTATCATTCATATGTTTATCCAATGACCATTTAAATGCCCTTAAAGTTGGCGAGTCTACTACTGTTTCAGGCAGGGCATTTCACACCCTTACTACTCTGAGTAAAGAACCTACCTCTGACATCTGTCCTATATCGATCACCCCTCAATTTAAAGCTATGTCCCCTCGTGCTAGCCATCACCATCCGAGGAAAAAGGCTCTCACTGTCCACCGTATCTAATTCTCTGATCATCTTGTATGTCTCTATTAAGTCACTGCTTAACCTTCTTCTCGCTAACGAAAACAGCCTCAAGTCCCTCAGCCTTTCCTCATAAGACCTTCCCTCCATACCAGGCAACATCCTGGTAAATCTCCTCTGCACCCTTTCCAATGCTTCCACATCCTTCCTATAATGTGGCGACCAGAACTGTACGCAATACTCCAAGTGTGGCCGCACCAGAGTTTTGTACAGCTGCAACATGACCTCATGGATCCGAAACTCAATCCCTCTACCAATAAAACCTAACACACCGTACGCCTTCTTAACAACCCTATCAACCTGGGTGGCAACTTTCAGGGATCTAGGCACATAGACACCGAGATCTCTCTGCTCATCCACACTACCAAGAATCTTACCATTAGCCCAGTACTCTGTATTCCTGTTACTCCTTCCAAAGTGAATCACCTCACACTTTTCTGCATTAAACTCCATTTGCCACCTCTCAGCCCAGCTCTGCAGCTTATCTATGTCCCTCCGTAACCTGCAACATCCTTCCGCATTATCCACAACTCCACCAACTTTAGTGTCATCCACAAATTTACTAACACATCCTTCTACGCCCTCATCCAGGTCATTTATAAAAATGACAAACAGCAGTGGCCCCAAAACAGATCCTTGCGGTACACCACTGGTAACTGAACTCCAGGATGAACATTTCCCATCAACCACCACCCTCTGTCTTCTTACAGTTAGCCAATTTCTGATCCAAACCGCTAAATCACCCTCAATCCCATGCCTCCATATTTTCTGCAATAGCCTACTGTGGGGATCTTTATCAAACGCTTTACTGAAATCCATATACACCACATCAACCGCTTTACCCTCATCCACCTGTTTGGTCACCTTCTCAAAGAACTCAATAAGGTTTGTGAGGCACGACCTCCTTCACAAAACTGTGTTGACTATCCCTAATCAAATTATTCCTTTCTAGATGATTATAAATCCTATCTCTTATAATCCTTTACCCACAACCGAAGTAAGGCTCACTGGTCTATAATTACCAGGGTTGTCTCTACTCCCCTTCTTGAACGAGGGGACAACATTTGCTATCACCCAGTCTTCTGGCACTATTCCTGTAGACAATGACAACATAAAGATCAAAGCCAAAGGCTCTGCAATCTCCTCCCGAGCTTCCCAGAGAATTCTAGGATAAATCCCATCCGGCCCAGGAGACTTATCTATTTTCACACTTTCCAGAATTGCTAACACCTCCTCCTTATGAACCTCAATCCTGTCTAGTCTAATAGCCTGTATCTCAGTATTCTCCTCGACTACATTGTCTTTTTCCTGTTTGAATACTGACGAAAAATAGTCATTTAGCGCCTCTCCTATCTCTTCAGACTCCACAAACAACTTCCCACTACTGTCCTTGACTGCCCCTAATCTTACTCTAGTCATTCTTTTATTCCTGACATACCTATAGAAAGCTTTAGGGTTTTACTTGATCCTACCTGCTAAAGACTTCTCATGTCCCCTCCTGGCTCTTCTTAGCTCTCTCTTTAGGTCCTTCCTGGCTAACTTGTAACTCTCAAGCGCCCTAACTGAGCCTTCACGCCTCATCTCTACATAAGCCTCCTTCTACCTCTTGACAAGAGATCCAACTTCTTTAGCAAACCACGGTTCCCTCGCTCGACCACTTCCTCCCTGCCTGACAGGTACATACTTATCAAGGACACGCAGTAGCTGTTCTTTGAACAAGCTCCACATTTCAATTGTGCCCAGCCCCTGCAGTTTCCTTCTCCATCCTATGCATCCTAAATCTTTCCTAATCGCCTCATAATTGCCTTTCCCCCAGCTATAACTCTTGCCCTGCGGTATATACCTATCCCTTTCCATCGCTAAAGTAAACGTAACGAAATTGTGGTCACTATCACCAAAGTGCTCACCTAACTCCAAATCTAACACCTGGCCTGGTTCATTACCCAGTACCAAATTCAATGTGGCCTCGCCTCTTGTTGGCCTATCTACATACTGTGTCAGCAAACCCTCCTGCACACATTGGACAAAAACTGACCCATCTAAAGTACTCGAACTATAGCGTTTCCAGTCAATATTTGGAAAGTTAAAGTCCCCCATAACAACTACCCTGTTACTTTCGCTCCTATCCAGAATCATCTTTGCAATCCTTTCCTCTACATCTCTGGAACTTTTTGGAGGCCTATAGAAAACTCTCAACAGGGTGACCTCTCCTTTCCTGTTTCTAACCTCAGCCCATACTACCTCAGTAGACGAGTCCTCATCAAACGTCCTTTCTGCCACCGTAATACTGTCCTTGACTAACAATGCCACACCTCCCCCTCTTTTACCACCTTTCCTGATCTTACTGAAACATCTAAACCCCGGAACCTGCAACAACCATTCCTGTCCCTGCTCTATCCATGTCTCCGAAATAGCCACAACATCAAAGTCCCAGGTACCAACCCATGCTGCAAGTTCACCCACCTTATTCCGGATGCTCCTGGCGTTGAAGTAGACACACTTCAAACCACCTTCCTGCCTGCCGGTACACTCCTGCAACCTTGAAACCTTATTCCTGACCTCACTACTCTCAAATCTCCTGTACACTGGAGCTACAATTCAGGTTCCCATCCCCCTGCTGAATTAGTTTAAACCCTCCCGAAGAGCATAAGCAAATTTCTCCCCCAGGATATTGGTACCCCTCTGGTTCAGGTGTAGACCATCCCGTTTGTAGAGGTCCCACCTACCCCAGAATGAGCCCCAATTATCCAGGTATCTGAATCCCTCCCTCCTGCACCATCCATGTAGCCATGTGTTCAACTGCTCTCTCTCCCTATTCCTCGCCTTGCTAGCACGTGGCACGGGTAACAAACCAGAGATAACAACTCTGTTTGTTCTAGCTCTAAGCTTCCACCCTAGCTCCTTGAATTTCTGCCCTACCTATGTCGTTGGTGCCTATGTGGACCACGACTTGGGGCTGCTCCCCCTCCCCCTTAAGGATCCCGAAAACACGATCCGAGACATCACAGACCCTGGCACCTGGGAGGCAACACACCAACCGCGAGGGTCTTTCGTTCCCACAGAATCTCCTATCTGTCCCCCTAACTATGGAGTCCCCAAAGACTAATGCTCTCCTCCTCTCCTCCCTTCCCTTCTGAGCAACAGGGACAAACTCTGTGCCAGAGACCTGTACCCCATGGCTTACCCCTGGTAAGTCGTCCCCTGCAACAGTATCCAAAACGGTATACTTGTTATTGAAGGGAACGGCCACAGGGGATCCCTGCACTGTCTGCCTGTTCCCTTTCCGTCCCCTGACTGTAACCCATCTACCTTTTTCCTGTACCTGAGGTGTGACTACCTCCCTGTAACTCCTCTCAATTACCCCCTCAGTCTCCCGAATGATCTGAAGTTCATCCAGCTCCAGCTCCAGTTCCCTAACACGGTTTCCGAGGAGCTGGAGTTGGGTGCACTTCCTGCAGATGAAGTCAGTGGGGACACTCGTGGTGACCCTTACTCTACAGGAGGAGCATGCAACTGCCCTAACATCCATTCCCACTGTTTTGAATTCCCAAACAGACTATTGAAAAAAAAACTGGTAACCTTACCATATCGGCGCTCAGAACCTTTTGTTTTGGTTAGAGGAGGATGATGGGTGGGAGACACTACCTAGGTAGTGTTTCGGGTAAAGCAACCACCCAAATATATTACCTCACTTACTCAGCCGTCCCGAGAACGCCCTCGTTCTAGAAAGAGAGGGGAAGGCAGATGGAAGATAGATAAGGAGTAGATAGGAGACAGACAGGTCAAGGAGGTGGGGATGGAGCCAGTAAAGGTGAGTGTAGGTGGGGAGTTAAGATGGGGGTTGGTCAGTAAAGGGAAGACGGACAGGTCAAGGAGGCAGGGATGAGGCTGGTAGGTAGGAGGTGGGGTGGGGGTTGAGGTGGGAGGAGTGGATAGGTGGGACAAAAGATGGACAGGTCAAGGAGGCAGGGACGAGCTGGGCTGGTTTTGGGATGAGGTTGGGGGCGGGGAGATTTTGAAGCTTGTGAAGTCCACATTGATACCATTGGGCTGCAGGGTTCCCAAGTGAAATATGAGATGCTGTTCCTGCAACCTTCGGGTGGCATCGTTGTGGCACTGGAGGAGGCCCAGGATGGACAAGTCGTTTAAGGAGTGGGAGGGGGAGTTGAAGTGGTTCGCGACTGGGAGGTGCAATCATTTGTCTTGAACCCAGCGTAGGTGTTCCACAAAGCGGTCCCCAAGCCTCCGCTTGGTTTCCCCGATGTAGAGGAGGCCACATCGGGAACAGCAGATACACTATACCACATTAGCAGATGTGCAGGTGAACATCTGTTTGATGTGGAAGGTTTTCTTGGGGCTTGGGATGGGGGTGAGGGGGGAGGTGTAGGGACAGGTGTAGCACTTCCTGCGGTTGCAGGGAAAAGTGCCGGGTGTGGTGGGGCTAGTGGGGAGCGTGGAGCGGACAAGGGAGTCATGGAGAGAGCGGTCCCTCTGGAAGGCAGATAAGGGTGGGGAGGGAAAAATGTCCTTGGTAGTGGGGTCAGATTGCAGGTGGTGGAAGTGGCGGAGTACGATACGTTGCATCTGGAGGTTGGTGGGGTGGTACGTGAGGATGAGGGGGGTTCTGTTTTTGTTGTTATTGCGAGGAGGGGGTGTGAGGGATGAGTTGTGGGAAATGTGAGAGATGCAGTCGAGGGCGTTTTCGACCACTGTGGAGGGGAAGTTGCGGTCCTTGAAAAACGAGGACATCTGGGATGTCCGGGAGTGGAATGCCTCATCTCAGGAGCAGATGCGGTGGAGGCGAAGGAATTGGGAATAAGGGATGGCATTTTTGCAGGAAGGTGGGTGAGAGGAGGTGTATTCTAGGTAGCTGTGGGAGTCGGTGGGCTTGAAATAGATATCGGTTTCCAGGTGGTTGCCAGAGACGGAAACAGAGAGGTCCAGGAAGGAGAGCGAGGTATCGGAGATGGTCCAGGAGAACTTAAGGTTGGGGTGGAAGGTGTTCGTAAAGTGGATGAACTGTTCCAGCGCCTCATACACCTGCCCCTACACCTCTCCCCTCACCCCCATCCCAGGCCCCAAGAAAACCTTCCACAAACAGATGTTCACTGTATCCGACGTTCCCGATGTGGCCTCCTCTACATCGGAGAAACCAAGCAGAGGCTTGGAGACCGCTTTGTGGAACACCTACGCTCGGTTCGCAACAAACGACTGCACCTCCCAGTCGCGAACCACTTCAACTACCCCTCCCACTCCTTGAACGACATGTCCATCCTGGGCCTCCTCCAGTGCCACAACGATGCCACCCGAAGTTTGCAGGAACAGCACCTCATATTTCACTTGGGAACCCTGCAGCCCAATGGTATCAATGTGGACTTCACAAGCTTCAAAATCTCCCCTCCCCCTACCGCATCCCAAAACCAGCCCAGCTCGTCCCCCCTCCCTGACCTGTCCGTCTTTTGTCCTACCTATCCGCTCCTCCCACCTCAATCCCCAACCCCACCTCCTACCTACTAGCCTCATCCCCGCCTCCTTGACCTGTCCGTCTTCCCTTCACTGACCAACCCCCATCTTAACTCTCCATCTACACTCACCTTTACTGGCTCCATCCCCGCCTCCTTGACCTGTCCCTCTCCTCTCCACCTATCTGCTCCTTTATCCATCTTCCATCCGCCTCCCCCTCCACACTCTATTTATTTCAGAATCCCCTTCCCCTCCCCCGGTATTGCGTATTAGAAGAATATACAGTCAACCTATTATTTAATCAACTGGTTGCATCACTGTATGATCATCCTTCCCATGGCTAACAAGTTCTGGCACAGTACTTGATTCCAGAGCTTTTAGCTTAGAGACAGAAGGCATTGCTACTGTGTCACGACCTCCTTCCAGCTGAACAGTAGGATGCCACAAAACTCTGGTGGTTCTCCTAAAATCAGTGTTTTCTTGATGTATCTATAGACTAATTAGCTTAACATTTGTCATTGGGAAAATGTTAGAGTGTATTATAAAGGATGAAATAACTGAGCATTTAAAAATGCATAATATAATCAAGCAGAGTCAGCCTGGTTTTATGAAGGGTAATCTTTGCCTGACAAACTTACTACAGTTCTTTGACAAGATGACAAGCAGGGCAGATAAATGGGCACCAGAAGATGCAATATATTTGGATTTCCAAAAGCATTCAATAAGATACTGCACATGAGGCTAAAAGAGAAAAGGCTGTTTGGTGTTGATGGTAGCATATGAGAAGGATCAAGAATTAAAAGCAGGTATAGTTGAGATAAAGGGGGCATTTTCATAATGGCAACCTGTAGCTAGTGGAGTGACATAGGGATCAGTGCTGGAGTTACAATTATGTAAAATATTCATCCATGACTTGAATGATGGAAATGAATGTACCATCGTCAAGTTTGCAGATGACACAAAAATAGGTGAGAAGGCCCAAGCTCCACGGTTTCTAGCTTACACTGACCTCTTGAATATTTTGACCTAATTACATTAATTTATCCTCTATGTTTAGGTGGTTTGAATATTATTAATCGACAGGCAACATTCAAGATACAAAATAATTTTAATGTAATTGATGCTTATAATAATTGAAGATTTTAGCTGATTTCGACTTTCCTGATTTCTTAAAGGAATTTGTTGAACTGCCCATTGTTCAAAAGTACGTTCCACCTTATTAAACACATAGGGCTTCCCAGAGATCATTATAGGTTGATAGAAACTGGATTTGACCACTCAGTTCCTCCAACCAGGGCCAGCATTCAGTAAAATCATGTTCACAATTATTTACTTATCTTTGCTTTGCCCCTTGGACTCTCCCAACAGAGAAAATAGTTTCTCTCTATCTACCCTATCGATCCTTAACTAGATAGAATACTTAATTAGATCACCTTTAATAATCATCTATAACCAACTAACTGCAAGGCATCTGATATAAACCATCACAATACTCACCAGCAGAGGGAATATTTAGCATTCATACCTGATCTATTATATTTGTGTCAGCAGAGAAACGGTTGAGAATTTGACCTAAAGGTGTTGAGTCAAAGAACCTGAACAATAAAAAAGTCTATATTAGTAAACAATGCGAAATGCAATAGCATCAATGAATTTACTAATTTGCAGTTCAAAATACATGAAAGCCTGAATCATAGCAACAACGGTGAAAAAATGAAAAGTGCAGTGTATTAACGCTAAAACTACTCAAAGTTAGTTCTTTAATGTCAATTCTAGAAATGTCTGACTAAATGTTTTGAAACCACTCTTACTGTGGTCAGTCACACTAATGTCATTAGACTGACATGCTAAGCCAGGGAAAAAAAATATTTTAGTTCCAAACTCACAACTATCTAAAAGGACAAGGGCAGCAGATACACAAGAGCACCACCACATGCAAGTTCCTCTTCAAGTTTCACACCATCCTGACGTGGAACTAAATCACTATTCCTTCAGTGTCACTAGGTTAACTCTGTAGCACTGAGTGTGCCTACTCCCTTTGGGCTACAATGGTTCAAGGCAGCTGTTCACCAGCTTCATCTTCTAGGGGAATTAGGGACAGGAAATAAATACTGGTCTAGCCAGTGACACTCAAGTTGCGTGAAAGAACATTTAAAAAAAGCTTAAAGTCAGAGAACCATTTTTACTTTGGGTGGGCAATTCATGGTGTGGAGGTAAATAGAAAAGGAGACTTGGGTGTGCTCTCCCCAGGCAGGTGATCTGCTTCCACAAGGAGGTTGTCTTGACTTTGTACAGTAATGTAAAATAGGTGATAGCTATGATTTAAGTCTCCCATCACTTTTGTTTCAACTTGAAGAAAAAAGGTGAGATGAAAACTTGGCTGCTGATCCACTTTCACCGATTTTACACTAACTTGTGACAATTTGAGCATTGGAGAGCTTGACATGATACAAGCCTACACCACGAATCAACAAAAGCAAGTTGTGACCTATGTAGAGCAGTTAACACTTCTATCATACATAGTGAATGGACAGATATACATTGCAAAAGCAGGAACATACACGCAACTGGAGGAGCTGTTTCTAAATTAAAGGCAGCCAATCAGGAAAATTTGAACTCACCATCTGCACAGACTGCTAAAGATCAACCGTCAGTCCTAGAGACAAACTCAGCACCAGAAATGGAACAACAACTGGTAATGTGACTACAACAAATGACACAGAAATGACAGTTCTTGGGAAGAAACTCCACCCAGATGAACAGCCAACAAAAAAGTCCACCTGTACTATTAAGAGATTGGTCCAATGTAAAAAACTGTGTGTGCAATGCATGTGTAGAGACTGATGGGAATAATGAACTGTGAATGTTTGTAAGGGGGATGGTTAGGATAAAATGCAATGCTGTATCAGTGTGTCTCCCAGCTTGCTGCAGTCATGTGACCTCTACCATGAGAACACTGACTGGTAGTGTCCAACTTGCAACCAGTTTCAATAAGGTGGTGATATATATACACAACACGGTACTGGAGTAAATACATAAAAACATGTGAGAAAATTGTACAATAATGATAATCTGATTAGGGCCAATTTTGGACAGTCCTTAGGCCTCGGTGTGCTAACAGCAGATGGTAACTATTTTCCCTAAAAAACAAATTGATGAGCAATAACAATGACAATAGTACTTGTATAGTGACTTTAATGTGACACATGCACATAGCACCTTTCATTGGAATGTAGCTGCAGGGCACTTCACACAGCGATAGGCACCATCTCGGACTTGAACAGATTGCTTCTCAGAGTTGCTTGATTGCCTTTTTAGCACCTCACTCACTTTGCACTTATTTAGATGCTCACGGCATCCCAGCATCGGCTTGCCTTTATGGCCCCTCTGCCAGACCTTAAAGGTCCATAGTCCTTCTGTTTTGCCTGTTGCTTAGTGCAGACACAAAGCCAAACAGCTTGTTACAGTTGTCAGCAGTCATGAATCAATGGGGTGACATGTTACCATACATCAGTGTGCTACATCAGTGTTACATCTCAGCTGTATATCCTTCGACCAAATGACCACATCTCCAAGTTTAAGAGGGTTAGTCCTCAGTCAAATCAAGGGAGATGACCTTCAGTAGGGGGATACTGGCACAGTAAAAGCATTGTCTGATTTTAGTTCAGGGGCTTAGAAATGATCATTAGCTGCTCGAGGCAGTCAGGGTCGGGGGATCTGGATCACTGCAGTCCAGGGAGTAGGTCACTGTCAATGTTATAGGCAACAAGTCCAGGGAGTGGCAGTAAGTCAGTCAGGGAGATGTATACTGCTTAGTCATGGGTCTGGTCAGTCATCGGTCAGGGGTTGACCCATGGTCAGCTTAATGAAAGTCAAGAAGCATTACCAGGTGCCACCACTGTGGTAGAGAACTGGGGATTGGAGACAGCATGCTGGGAAACGGGGATGACAATACTTGTAAAGGGAAGGAAAAAAATCAACAGATATGGTGATGAGGAAATAGTGCATTGGAGGATATGAGATACAGTCTGAGAATGGGAGATTATCGACAGTCACCGCTATTGTGGCCTCAATGTGCAAAACAGTGTTGGCATAATTTCACTTTTTGACTGGGGCTCAAGACAATGTTGAAAACTGAAGACACAAGACACAATAGTGTGTGTGAAGCTGTGCTTGACAGGGAGTGCCATGAATAAAGGGATACAGAGGTTTAGGGGAGTGGGGAGATCCCTCAATTACGATGCTGAGCCTTAGACTCAGTGTGCCAACACAACCTCCACTGCCTTCCACGTACAAACAACTGGCAAACAATATTTCCTTCTAAACTGCACGGCTACTCTGAGGGTCTGTGCATGTCATTCAGCATTCCGATACCGTCCCCAGCATTAACTTCTACTTTCAGTAGTTGCTGCCACCCACAGACCTTGGAAACCTGAGCAGTAGCAAACAGAATTAGACAGAAGTGAGCTCATAAATGCACACTGCAAGTGGAAAATGGCTGTGACCACACCTGAGTGGACAGGGTCAGTGTTTGTTTCAGTCTGAGCGCATGACATTTGAAGGCATTAATGTATGTGATGGTCCCACACTGGGCTACACCAGGCATTGGGGAAAGAGAAGCCCTCACTCAGGCAGCAGTATAAACGGGATGAGGCTAAGGATGGGCAAGCTATGCGTTTGGTTCTTAAATAGTGACAAATGTGAGAATGTGCCCTCGTATGTGCAATGAATTGTCAGCCATGCATCCCATGTGCCCTGAGAAGCATTGGTTTGTGGTTTTCTCCCATTTTGTGCATGGCAAAGGGCATGACTCCAGACTGCCAGCACTTTAAAGATGTCATTGATGGCAGTGATCCTAGGATATCCTGGGAGTAACTAATATTTGCAACTATAGTAAGTGGGAGAATGCAACAACTGAGGCAGCTTAGGGGCGAGGTGCATTAAAATGAGGCAAGTTTGGGAAGATAGTGTAAGAAAACCCATTTGGCCTTCACTCCCAACCCTTGAAAATTCACTGATTTCTGGTAAAATCCAGCCCCAAGATTTTCAACAATAATGTGGGGAGTTCAATGTTTCGTACATGTCACTGTGTTCCAGTGTGGTAAGGATATCAAATTTGATAGAACTGTCAAAACTTGTGCCAGTAATTAAGAGAACCTTTAACTGAATTGTTTCCATTCATTAAGTAGCAAATTAACAGAGACTCTGACTGATAGGTTTTGGGGTTGAGTGTGGGTGGTGGATAAATCAACAAAGTCCCAGTTTAGAAGCAAAGTGGATGGAGAAAAGTTTTCCACTGAAGAGATCTAGTTTTTGATGCAATTTGTACTTTCAAACATTGCATGAAGCTGAGAAGTTTGTAAAGTTGACAGATTCTTGGATGTCAGCATCAATCTCTTAAAGTTTGGCCTGGATTTGCCTTGGCGATGAATTCTTGGATGAGTTATTCCAGTGCATTCTGCCAAACCTGTTCCTGACTGAATCATGGGTTTGCATCAGAAACACATCCATGTTTCTGTTTTCATGTTTAACTGAAACTTACAGAATACTGAGAAATCAGGATAGAGTGGACATAGAGAGATATTTCCACTGGTAGGAGCGACTAAGACCCAAGGGCGCACGCTGAGAATGAAGGAATGACCCTTTAGATACAGAAGCTTGAACATACGCACCAACATGTTCAAGAACAGCTTCTTCCCTGCTGTATTAGATAGCAGAACAGACCTCTCTAATTTCAAATTTAATGTTGATATTGCTTTTGTACACTTCCTGTGCATCTGTAACCTTGTATGCCTCGCTCTGTCTAAGCACCCCTGTCAGCTGTATATCTTTGTTTGTTATGATCTGCCAGTACTGCTCGCAAGACAAAACTTTTCACTGTACTTAACAATAAATCAAATCAAATAGAATTGAGATGAGGAGGAATTTCTTTAGCCAGAGGCTGATTAATCAATGGAACACATTGCCGCAGAGGGCTGTGGAGACCAAGTCATTAAGTGTATTTAAGACAGAGAGATATATTCTTGATTGGTAAGGGGATCGAGTGTTATGGGAGAAGGCAGGAGAATGGGCTTGAGAAACAAAATCAGCCATGATTGAACGGTGGAGCAGACTTGATGGGCTGAATGGCCTAATTCTTTCCTATATCTTATGGTCTTCACTCACTCTGGTAATGTGGCAAATCTTTGTCAGAGACATGATATGGTTCATTAAGAATCAGCAATTTGCCTGACTTGAACGGAACATCAAGCAGAGTCAGCAAGGCTTCATGAAAGAGAAACGATATCTGAAAAATTTATGAGACATTTTCAAGGAAGTCTCAACCAGAGACTGGATAGAGGGGAACCAGGAGATGTGTTGCATTTGGACTTCTGTCAGCTGTTTGGCAAAGTACTTCACAAAAGTTTAAGTCATAAGATAGAGCCTATGGTGTTAGAGATAAGATACTGGTGTTGACAGAGAATTAGCCAATGGGCAGGAAACAGCGAGTGGGGATAAGGGGTTCCTTTTTAGGTTGGTGACCTGTGACCAGTGGGATTCCACAGGGATCAGTGCTGAGACCACAACTGTCTACAATATACCCTAATGACTGGAGGAAGGAAGCAAATGTACTGTAGCCAAATTTGCAGAAGACAAAAATAATTAGAAAGGCAGGTTGCCAGGGGGATACAAACATTTTACAGAGAGGTATTGATGGTTAAGTGAGTGGGCAAAAAGTTGGACAATGGACTATAATGTGGGAAAGTGTGAAGTTATTCATTTTGGAATGGAGAACAAAAGAACTGAGTGTTATTTAAATGGAGAAAAACTGCAGAAAGCTGCAACACAATGGGACTCAGGGAATGGGAATTTGTGCAAGAAACATAGAAAGCTAGCAAGCAGGCACAGCAGGTAATCAAGAAGGTTACTGCAACTGTAAAAGGTGCTGGTAAGACCATATCTGGAATACTGTGAGCAGTTTTGGTCCCTTATCTAAGGAAAGATATTATTTCATTGGAAGCAGTTCAGAGAACGTTCGATAGGATGATCCCTGGTATTGTCTTACGTGCAAAGGCTAAACAGGTTGGCCTCCATTCATTGGAATTTAGAAGAATGAGAGGTGATCTCATTGAAACATGTACTCCTTTTGTTAAGGGGCTTGACAGGGTAAAAGCTGAGAGGATGTTACCTCTCATGGCAGAGCCTAGGACCAGATAGCACAGTCTCAGAATTAAGAAAAATGAGAGATGAGCTCATTGAAACGTATAGGATTCTCAAGAAACTTCTTAAGAATCTGGAACTTCTTGCCACAGAGTCGTAGAGGCAGAGCCCTTGTGTATCTTTAAGGCTGAGATACAGAGATTCTTGATCAGTAATGGAATCAAAGTAAATGTTGAAAGAATATTTCCCCTCATAGGAGGATCTAGGAGCAGAGGACATAGTCTCTGAGTAAAGGAGCATCAATTTAAGACTGTAATGAGGAGGAATTTCTTCCCTCAGAGGACTGTATGTCTTTGGAACATCTTGCCAAATAAAGCTGTGGGAACAGAGTCTTAGGATGGGTCCTCTGTAAGGGACATTTTAGGGAAACTGATACAGGATACAGGATACCTTATATGCACTCCTTCTATTTTGGAGCACTTAGGATGTACTACTCCCGAAAAGAAGTATGAAAGCGCAGTGGCTAGCACTGCTACCTCACAGCGCCAGGGACCCGGGTTCAATTGCAGCCTTGGGCGACTGTCTGTGTAGAGTTTGCACATTCTCCCCGTGTCTGCTTGGTTTTCCTCCAGGTGCTCCGGTTTCCTCCCACAGTCCAAAGATGTGTCGGTTAGGTGGATTGGCCATGCTAAATTACCCATAGTGTTCAGGGATGTACAGTCTAGGTGGGTTAGCCATGGGAATTGCAGGGAAAAGGTGAGGGGGTGGGGTGGGTCTGGGGAGGATGCTCTTTGGAGGGTCAGGGTGAACTTGATGGGCCGAATGGCCTGTTTCCCCACTGTAGGGATTCTATGAAGTTTAATGCTTAAGATGAGAATTTGGACGGAGGCCCTGGCAGTCTGTTTGAATGATCCAAGTGAATGTCAAAGATCTTACGAAACATGGAAACATAGAAACTAGGAGCAGGAGTTGGCTATTCAACCCTTCAATCCTGCTCCACCATTCAATAGTTTGGATTAAAGTACCTAAAAAGATCAGGCAGTTCTTCAAAAGCAATTTATTTGAATCTCCTAGCTAATGTTCCTCCCAAAATTAATATTATCCAATTATTTTTATTTTGCTTTTCATCTGAGCATTTAAAATTAGTTCACTGCACGTGAAGCAGTTTGAGGCACTTCTCAGGGATGTGATAAGGCATCATACAATAAGAATTGCCAGATAAGAGAAGCCCACAATCTATTTAATTTGCCTTCTATCTTCCTGGTAGATGCAATGTTGGTGGAGTTGGTAATGCCGAGTTTTCTTTTATTTCACATCTTGATGTCTTATTGTTCCTATCACTTCCCCACAAGTGCATGTTTCCAAAATCACCTGCAGGGTCCCAACATCACAATACAGAGGCAGTACCAGAACCCAGAGGGAAGAGATCATAATGGGGCACAGTGTAGTGACCACTTTATAAATGCAACCTTTAAAAGAACATGGTGCAGACAGCCTGATAACCCAGAGAAAGCAAAAAGACAAGCATACAAGTAAAATCAGAGCCCTGGACCCATTCATAATCACCAAAACACTGGGGAACTGACTTAAGACATCTGTTAAAGGTATCATAATAGTGAGACCAGTTGTTGTAATAGCTCCACAAATGAAGTTTTGTGGATATGGTTTAAGACTAATTATCAGCTTACCTCACTGGTGCTAGGATGATCTTGTTGAGAAGATTATGATGAAGATTTTTAGCTGCTGTTAAGCCCATCCACTCCACAGTTAGGGATGTGATGAGGCATAGTATGATCCCAACACTGCACAAGATGCTGTACCACATTTTGTAATAATTTTGGTTACTCTAAGGAACACAGATAGAAGGAGTTTGTGAATTGACATAGTCGGTAAAGAGATAAAATACAGAATTGTTTGGACCATTCAATAGCTTAACCTGACTAATGAATGTGACAATCTGAATAAACCAACAGGAGAATCAGGTTCTGAGGTGAAAGATCATGACATCACAATCTAAAATCTTTAATCTAACAAAAGTGATTTTAAAGGATAGGACTGACTGTCAGATATATTTAACATCACTAAACTCACTCTTTTCAAACTTTTCCCTGAACTATTCCATTTATTGAGATAATTTTCTGTTAATTTGTTATAATTGGCAATCTTTGACCATACAAGATTTATAGTGTGTCCTTAATTCCCAACTTGATTTATTCCTGACTAGCTTATACTGATGGCCCTTGGTTTTGGAACTCCCTCCACAAGTATACCCACACATAGTAACACAAACATCTGTAAATCATCTGAACATTGCTGCCTCTTTGAGGTTGAAAGTACAGAAATAAACAGCCTAATTATTCCCGGCTTATTGAAAGTGCCTGGAAAAGCCCTGTTGCTCCATCGGTCCTGCCTAGTTGGTCATTGATGTGCCCTCACATTCATCACTAGGCCCTATCATTCCCACTCCCACAATCCCTTGAGAGAGGCAAAAAGCCAAACAGGAAATCTGAGGCTAAATCAAGAAAAAAAACCTCTGGGAAATTCAACTTTGATCTAAAGATCATCAGGCTGCCGAGCAAGTTCCAAGAGATGGCAGACACTGGAAAGCATTAGCCTCAATTAATCTATGTATCTTCAATGTTACTGTTGTGCTAATTCCCAGGGTGTTTCATGTGGCTGTTGCAATGTGATGCAAAGCATATGGGATGCACTTTGAGGGAACTAATGGGTATAAGGCTCACAATCTTCCCATCCATTTATTTTACCTTTCCCAAGAAAATGTGTAGTCCTGGAGTGTCAGAAAGTTCACCCAACGTGATTTGTGCTGTTTACTACTGAAGTTAAAGCATAAGACTGGAACTTCTTCCAAAGGTAATCCAGGCCAGACGGCATCACACTGGCCATCTGCTGTGCCCCTGCCCAATATTCAGTTCAACAGTGAAAGTAAATATCAAGAGCAACACGTAAACAGGAGCCTGTACAATATCACCCATAGATCACAACCTTTCCAAGATGAAATTCAACCCTCATTGTTATACAATATTTCAGTTGCAGATTTGGATTGCAGAGAGGACATTACTAAAAGTAACTAAAGCCAAGTATTAGCATAGGAGGGAAATCCTTCTGGACTTCATTCAGAAAAGACTCAGAAGATTAAGGCATTTGACTGGCTTTTCAATCAATCCTCCCTGTCTGTGGAGGCAATATTGCCCGAGATGTGAATGGCATCTCCTGGTTTCTGTTGGGACCATCTGTGATGCCTTGGGTAGATTTTCTGCCACCAATCCTTCTTGCTGTATCAATCTAAGCTACAGATACCATTTGGGGAACAATGCCCACATGAACTCATCAGCAAAGAGATAGGTGTGTTAACTTAGGAGCTAGTTACATTACATCTAAGATACCCGAATGTGTCACAAGAGGCTCAATTTAAGATTAAGTACACATTAGCACTTTGCTTACAGCACTAAGTGATCACTGAAGCATTATACACCCTCTGGTGAACACATAGTTCCTTGAAAATGAAGACACAGGTAGACAGGATTGTGAAGGTGGTGTTTGGTACGCTTGTCTTTATTGATAAGTGCATAGAATATAGGAGTTAGGACGTCATGTTGTGGCTGTACAGGACATTGGTTAGCCACTTTTCGAATACCGTGTTCAATTCTGGTCTCCCTGCTATAGAAAAGATGTTGTGAAACTTGAAAGTGTTCAGAAAAGATTTGCAAGGATGTTGCCAGGGTTGGAGGGTTTGAGCTGTAGGGAGAGGCTGAATTGGCTGGGGCTATTTTCCCTGGAAGTCGGAGGCTGAGGGGTGACCTTATAGAAGTTTATAAAATTCTGAGGGGCATGGATAGGGTGAATAGCCAAGGTCTTTTTCCTGGGGTGGGGGAGTCCAAAACTAGAGGCTATAGGTTTAAGGTGAGAGGGGAAAGATTTAAAAGGGACTTAAGGGCAACATTTTCATGCAGAGGGTGGTGCGTGTTTGGAATGAGCTGCCAGAGGTGGTGGTAGAGGATTTGCAGTTTGATGCTGAACTTGTTTTGGTTGTGTTATGAATGCACCTTCCGTGGCCATCAGGTCCTGAAGTGGGACTTGAACCTGGAGTCCTGACCCAGAGGCAAGGAAACATTTCTCCCTGAATGCCTACAGCTCACCATCTCCCCACTCTTTCCTAAAGGATTCTGGTGCATGCGGTACATCAGCAGTGTCCATCTGTCTCATTCCTGAGCTGATTGCTTTGAGGTGAGGAAGTGGTGGATGTGGGTAACAACATTTGAAAGACATTTGGATAAATACACGAATAGAAAAGGTTTTGGAGGGATACGGGCCAGGAACAGACAGGTGGGCCAAGTTTAGTTTTGCATCATGTTCGGCATGGACTGGTTGGACTGAAGGTTTTGTTTCCATGCTGTATGGCTCTACAACTATGACTGGGATGGATTTTGATATTGTTGTGAGGTGCCAAATTGGTGTTGCCCAACACTTGAAACCTGATTTTCATTTTGGATGCTCTTTGTAACAGGCAGACAATCCACTCTGAGACTGGCTGCAAAGCTGCCCTTGTCTATAAATACAAGTCATCAGTGCAACAATTTTTATTTCGGGTTAATGCTGACTTGACTTCATGGAAATCCTTGCTGCGTACACCTTTTTAATTCCACATGCAATGGATTCCCACTGAGTCGTTTCACAGCATTTCATTATCAGAGACATAAGATCAGGAGTTCTCACACCTAATCTGCCGTTCAGTTCACCATAACCAATCTGTAGCTCAACTCCACTTACTTGCCTTAGTTCCATGTCCATTAATATCCTTGTCTAACAAAAAAGCATCAAAATCACTTCAGACATTTTCATTTAACCCAATCTCAACAGATTTTTGAAGGGGACTGTTCTAACTATTCAGGTTCGTACCGTGTCAGTCATTGTGTTTGTTTCACTTGTTTGTTTTGAGCTTGTCCACTTTGCAAGCCAATAGTCAATAGCCACCATGACAGAGTGTTTTAGCAACTTGGAGATAATCAGCAAAAAGAGCAGAAGGAATCCTCCTGAGGTCAGATATCTCCAGAAAGCTCGCCAAGGCATTTTTGTTCGAAGCCTCATAACTGTTGACATGTTATCTTCATCATCATCTTCCTCATCCTCTTCTGAGCTCAGGGGCATGAACAAAGAAGAAAATCAATTTCATAGAAATATCATCAAATCCCCACAGTGTGGAAACAGGCCATTCAGCCCAACAAGTCCACTCCAGCCCTCTGAAGAGCATCCCAACCACACCCATCCCCATAACCCTGCATTTCCTGTGGCTAATGCACCTAACCTACACATCCCTGAACACTATGGGCAATTTAGCATGGCCAATCCACCGAACTTGCACATTTTTAGACTGTGGGAGGAAACCGGAGCACCTGGCGGAAACCCACACAGACACGGGGAGAACGTGCAAACTCCACACAGACAGTTTCCCAAGGTTGGGATCAAACCTGGGTCCCTAACGCTGTCAGGCAGCAGTGCTAACCACTGAGCCACTGTGCTGCCCATATCAGTATCATCATCATGAATACAAACATCAACTTCCCACTGTACATAACTTTGAAGTTAAACATTGCAGAAAAAAGATATGAAGGTGAAGAATTTCCATGGCAATGGCCTGAAAAACTGGTGAGGCGATAGCCTAGTGGCATTATTGCTGGACTGTTAATCCAGAGACACAGGTAATGTTCTGGGGACCCGGGTTTGAATCCCGCCACGACAGATGGTAGAATTTGAATTCAATAAAATATTTGGAATTAAGAATCTAATGATGACCATGAACCCATTGTCAATTGTTGGAAAGACCCATCTGGTTCACTAATGCCCTTTAGGGAAGGAAACTACCATCCTTACTTGGTCTGGCTCACGTGTGACACCAGACCCACAGCAATGTGGTTGACTCTAAATTGCCCTCTGGGCAATTAGGGATGGGCAATAAATGCTGCCTGGTCAGTGATGCCATTATTTCATGAATACATTTTTAAAAATCAGTCAACTTAATCAGTTAATTAAGATTGACAGTTAACAGTTCCTATTATGGCTTCATGCTTACCTTAACTCTAATTGTATCAATCAGCACCTTTTACTCATGTTGCATAAATTGTTGTCTTATCCAAAATTGGTTTTCCTGCGTTTCAGTCTTGATAACTATAGCTTTTTAGCACTGCTTAAGTTCTGTATTATCAAGCAGCTACTTTGGAGTTATAATTATATAGCAATAAACAAGCACTTTCTATAAGATGGAAATGCTGACCAATGCAAAAAAGTGATAATTTGATAATATTTCAAATTAGCTTTCTGACAGCATTGAAAGAGCAAGAGAATTTCATAAAGATTTGATCAACATATTTACAACCAAGCATCATAATCTCTTCAAAAACATTGATTTTATGTGCTACCACTTATTTTATTAGCAACCTAGCAATTAAGAGCTAATTGGTCACAGCAACAAAAGCAAAGTAATACAGATGTTGGAACTTTCAAATGAAAACAAAATACTGGAAAAACTCAGCAGGTCAGTCAATATCTGTGGAAAGAGAGACAATTCTGATCAATGACCTTTTATTAGAATTGGAACACATTAGAAATATTACAAGTTTTAGGAATATGCATAGGTAGGGAAGAGGCAACGTGGATTGCATAAGGGAAGGTCTTTGACTGCGTGGAAGTATGGAGAGATTCAAAGACGAATTGAGAATTACAGAAAGCAGAAGGAGATGGAGATGGGACAAGAAAGAAAAGATGGATCCAGGAGATGTTAAAGGGAATAGCAGAAAACAAACAACAACTGCTGTACAAATAAAAAAAGGGGCAGAGATTACTGTTTGCAATTCCTACACTCACTGTTGAATCTGGAAGGCTGTAAAATACTTAATTGAAAGGTGAAGCATTGAAAGCTGTTCACAGGGAGCTCGCTTGTTGAGCACTGCAGTGTCCCTACCCCTGGACCAGGAGGCCCAGGTTCAAGTCCCACCTGGTCACAGAGGTGTGTAATAACATCTCAGAACAGGTTGATGAGAAAAATAGGTTGTTAAATGAAAAAAATGTTGGAAACTGTTCATCAAGATAATAACAGTGTAGAAGACCAAGAACAGAGATGTCAGTCTGGGTGTGTGGCAGAAAATTACAAGACAGACTAAAGGAAGTTCAGGATCTTGCAGGTACAGTGTTCCCAAAAGGATTACCCAAACTGTATTTGATCCTCAGTGCCAAGTGCCAAATATTGTACACTAAATTGAAAAAAGTGCAAGTAAAATGCTGTTTTGCCTCTAAGGACTGTTTGAGGCCCTGAGCAGCGAGAGGGATGAGGGTAAGCAACAGCTACTACCACATCTGTTCTGCTTCATGATATTTGGCTCAGAGCCCAGTCATTTATTGAAGTGTTGTTATGGCTGTGCCCTGGGACAACATCACTTGATTGATAGCTCTGGATCTCTAATTTATGGTCATTACTCAATGCTTATTTACATAAGATTAGAAGTGTGCAAGTATGTTCAGCTAATGTTATTGACACTTTAAAGTATTTGGATTATTGACACTTTTACTGGGCTGTAGTAAAAGCAATTTTTTGGAATTAATCACTGTTTCTATGGTCTTTTTATTACATCCTGTTATCTCTATAGGGTTTATTGGTTTAATACACTGTATAATGGGTAAATGGGCATTTGAAGTGCCTTACCTTGGGCATCAGGAGCTTCAGGGGGTGGGTGAGAGGCATTGTTTTGTGGGGGCAAATAGAATGAGGGGCAAATAGAAAGGTGGGCCAGGGGAGGGGCAACATTATGTGATGTTATGAAGGGCCGTGGGGTGCTGGTGGGCATCATGAGGAGTGTATGTGGGCTGAGGGGGCATGAGAGGTGAGGGCTGGAAGGCCTTACTAACTTTATTATCACTGGGACATGCCCCCTTTGTGCATTCCTCTGTATTCTTTCTGGTGGTGACAGGCCCAACTCCTTTTAACAAACCCTCCCCCAGAACAGAAATTACATCTTTATAGACACTTCCTCCAGAGTCAGGCTTGCCAAGCAAGGACATTTCCCAACTCCCACTACCCGCCTTGAAGATGGCAACCTGGATCAATGTTTTAGGTCATTGGCATTTCATCAGAACTGGTAAAAGAGATATATGACAGAGAAGCAAGCACAGAAGTGTGGAAGATTAGTGTGGGTGTGGGGAAAATGGAAAGAATAAATAGGATGGCAACAGAGATTAAATGTCAAATTGGATAATGGTACAAGGTAAAGGGACAGAAAAGGTCATTTGAGTTGTTAATCCATTCCATTTCTTGCTTCATATACTTTGAAACCCATAATCAACAAAAATCTGGTTGATTCAGCTTTAGAAATTCAATTGATCTTTATCATTTTACAGTCTGCCTTCTTTCCATGTTCTTCCCTCTTTCAGATTACACATATTCTCTAGCCAAGAGGGAAATCACCTGACAAGGGATGTCTTTTTACTATTCATGTGCCAGTTTGGGGTACTTGGTATCGTGGGTCAACCACTCTCCTCTGAATTAGCCTTTCCATCTTGGAGAGAAGATTCTTAAAACAGAAGCTGTTCTTGTTAAAGAGATAACAAGGTGTACAGCTGGATGAACACAGCAGGCCAAGCAGCATCAGAGGAGCAGGAAAGCTGACGTTTCAGGTCTGGACCCTTCTTCAGAAAAAGGCTTCAGAAAAATTTTCTGAAGGGTCCAGACCCGAAACGTCAGCTTTCCTGCTCCTCTGATGCTGCTTGGCTTGCTGTGTTCATCCAGCTGTACACCTTGTTATCTCAGATTCTCCAGCATCGGCAGTTCCCACTATCTCTGTTTTTTTAACCTGCCCCAACCTAAGACTTGTGAACTATAAAAAGTAGTTCTATTTTAAACTTAAATGATTATACACTGTGAAACTGACTTGATATCTCATGAGTATAAAAGTGCTGTGACCAGGAAATCAGTGGAATTTCCAAATAAAGACCCTGTCACATATGAATAGAGAAGGGTGCCAAGACAGTGGGGAGAGACAAAGGATGAGCATCAATTGGAACATGGCCACAGCAATAATGGAACAGAATTTCAGAGGAACTAGGTTCAACTTGAATTCCAGTGGATGGTAAATGATCCACTCATGGTCTAATTAGAACATCCACCTGACATGGAGGTGAGAGGACATGTTGGATCTATTTGAGAGCCTAGACAAAATTTCAACTCAGAGGTGTTGAATCCATTGGATCCATACAGGTGAATGGTTCTATTTGAGCCCACAGTCAGCTGTCCATTGAAAAGAGTTGCATGGTGTCTGCCAGGCAGGGTATATCAGGGCCTAAGTAACTGGGGTCTAAGGCTCTAGGCTCACTGTACTGGAGTCACTGTGCCCGGGTTGGGTCGGGGTCACTGAGATCCAGTTCAGCGGGAGGGGACACTATTCAGGTCGGGGCAGGGATCATAGTGCTCATGGAGTCCAGACCAGACGCAGCACACAGTCTGTGATTTCTGTCCCTGGCCCTGTTGCCCATACACTGAAGACCTTGTACGACCAGTGGCCATTGCATCCTAAATCAGGAATGCCCTTCTGTTCTCAGCTTCGCTTGGACAGGTCACACCTTTGGTGAAAATCTAAAAGTTAGTGGTTGTGACGTTGTTGATTAAATGGTACTGGAGCTTATGTCACACTCTTGCTCTGTTCCCAACCCACCCAGGTGAAAGCAAAGTGGCACCATGATGTAATGAGCAATAAGAGAGAGATATGCCAACCTTCATCTTCATCATCCAACTGGGCTTTGGCTTCTCGTGAATACATTGCCCTTCGCAAAGTTTTTCTTTCTAGAATTGTTTGGCTTTCACCTTCAGTCTCCTGGGGAGAAGAGAAAAGGACAGAAATGTTTTAATTGACTGCAGCCAAATTAATTAAGTAATTGTCTTAAGGAGGCAGGTTTCACACTAAGTCTATGACACTGCCACAATTAAAGAACACTAGTATTTTACAGGCACCTTCTGTTTTTTTCTCAGGTAAACTATCCCACAAACGGATGATGTAGTGGCTCACAGCGCCAGGGATCTGGGTTTGACTCCTCCCTTTGGCGACTGTCTGTGTGGATTTTGGACATTTTCCCCATGTCTATGTGAGTTTCCTCCGGGTGTTCCAGTTTACTCCCACAGTCTAAAGATGTGCAGGTTAGGTGGACTGGCCATGCTAAATTGCCTGTTGTGTCCATGGATGGGTGGATTATCCATGAGAAAAGCAGGATTGTGGAGAATGGGAAGGATGCTTTTCAGGGGGTCAGTATGGACTCAATAGGCTGAATGACCAGCTTCCACACTGTAGGGATTCTATGATTGCTCCAGCTACTGTTCCAAAGCATCAGAATTTATTGAAGAAAATTCTAACTTGGGATGTCCGTGATAAAAGATGGGGGTGTGGAGGGTAGGGTGGTGGTGTCCAAATGGATACTCATTGTAAACCTCTTCAGATCGGTGTTCTCATGGAAACTGAAATATCAACAATAGGAGCAGGAGTACATCATTCAGTCTTTTGGGTCTGCTGTGCTATTCAATACGATCATGGCTGATAATCTAACTCAGGCCCCTGTTCTCCCCATACCCTTTGATCCATTTAGACCCAAGACCGACATTTAACTCCTTGCAGGAAACTTCAAGCTGAGAGATGTGTACAGCAGTCAGCTGACCTAATCGTAGTCATTTTGCATTATCACCCAAAGCTCACCTATCCTGCCACATCCTATTGGGTGGACTTTTATACTTCAGCAGGGATGTCAGACACCAATTATACCCCCACTGAGACAGTCGCTTTCTTTCCTGTTACCATTAATCGAAAGAACATGACACCAACTCTCTGACTTCATGTTATGATCGCTGATTCAAAGCAAAACTACACCACTTTGTTTTTCAAATCAGAACAAAGGAGGATGAGAGCCAGTTCCAGTCTGCACCCTTCCATCTTCACCTCCTCATTGAATCCATTGCAGCCAATAGAAAATAATAGAGGTCCATTTGCACAATTTGATATCATCTTGTGTACTTTACAACCTCATTGTTTGCTAATTGTCCTTCTCCTTTAACACTGACCCAAAGACATCCAGTCCCTATTCCTCAATCCAGAATATGAAAATCCAAGCAGCTCTATAAATGCTATCAAGTCTGACTTCCTAAACTAGTGCTAATGGAGTAGACACTATTCCACCACATACAGGACAAAGATATCCTTTTGGGTGCTCACAGGGAAATGATAGCAACACTGAGGCAACTAAATGGAAACATGAATATCCTACTGGCTCAGTACTGATGATCAAACAAAAACCAAAATCCTGGCCTCGACTATAAAGCAGTGGAGTTATGTTGAATGTTTCTAAAGCTGTGGGAAGGCCCCAGCTGGAGTATCAGGCCCAGTTCTGGTCACCACGCTCTAGAAAAGAAATGAAGGTCTCCGAGGGGGTGGAAAGAGATTTGCCAGAATGGCAACAGGGATGGGAGGGGTTTCAGTTTGGAATATCTGGAGTCGTTCTCCTTGATGCTAGAGAGGTTGAGCAATGGTTTGATCATAGCATTCATTACGATAGAAGGAAGAACAGTTCACATTAGCTGATAGTACAAGGACTAAGGGACACTGATCGAAGGATCTAGGGGCAAGAGTTACAGGGTGGTTTGGTGGGGGAGAGAAATAACAAAGAACTTTGTTCGTTCAAAGATCTGAACCTTGCTGTCTATAAGGATGGTGCGGGTAATTTCAAATGGAAATTGTACGGGCACTTGAAAGAATTAAATGTGGAGAGCTAAAGGACTGAGCAGGGGTCTGGGACTGACTGTTTTGTTCTGGGGGAGCTTGCACGAGCTAAATGGGTGGGCTGGCGTTGTTCTTTGTTGCAATTCATTCTGTGATTGTACGAGTAGACTGGGCTGGATTGTTCTTAAATTATTCCATGTAGATCACAGAGATTTAATGTATGAGCTCAATTAGGTGCAGCAACAAATGACTATTTAGCATTGTTCACCATTTCAATAGCTTTAGCATCTTGGTGTATATTTAGTGTTACCCTCTTTGCTCTTCGACAGTGAAGAGGGCAATTAGAAAGTAGCATATATTGGGAAATTATTGGCTTGCAGCCTGTATCTTTCTCCGTGTTGAAATGAACAGAGACAAATCTTGCTGCAAGTTGCCTTATAGGCTGGTGAGAACAGTGGATGTTTGTAAAGTCAGAACAGAGGTTCATAGGTTCATACGTTACCTTTTCAAATTCCTGATCCTGTCGGTTCATGAGTGTTTTCCATTGTTCGTATAACTCTACATCATGATTCTGAAAGTCCTTCAATGTGCCTTCTCTTATGATGCTGCCATCTTTCATAGCAATTATCTGAAAAATAGAGAAACAGCTGAGTCACAGAAAATTCTTACTTGCTGTTTTACCATCCCAAACACTGTTACAATGGCTCAAATCACCTTTCGCTGTGTTTTATCATTCTATGATTTCATGATTCCTATGAGTGATAAAGAATATGATACAATACTCCTTCATTGGTAGTTACAACATTTAAAAAACATTTGGACAAGTACATCAAAAGGAAAGTTGGAGAGGGATGTGGGCCAAACATGGGCATGTGGGAACAAAAACAGAAGTTGCTGGAAAAGCTCAGCGGATCTGGCAGCATCTGTGAAGAAAAAAAAAATCAGAGTTAACGTTTCGGGTCCGGTGACCTTTCCTCTGAGGAACCAAAATGTTAACTCTGATTTTTTTTCTTCACAGATGCTGCCAGACCTGCTGAGCTTTTCCAGTAACTTTTGTTTTTGTTCTTGATTTGCAGCATCCACAGTTCTTTTGGTTTTTATTACAGGCAAGTGGGACTAGTTTGGGAAACTTGGTTGGCATGGACAAGTTGGACTGAAGGGTCTGTTTCTGTGCTGTATGACTCTATAACTCCATATGGCGTATTATACTGAGGACTTCATGAGTACCTGCCTATTCAAAGGCAGCAACTATCATAATTATCATATTCAGGCCAAAACTAATCATTAAATTTACTTATAAATCACATGTAACACTGAAGTAAATAGAAACTTCAAGCTTCACATTGTCCATGCTTGACTTACTCAATAAAGAAATCATTTTGAAGCAAGATGCATTTTCAGAGAAAGTTCACTCGGCTGATTCCTAGAATAAAGGAATGGTCTTATGAAGAAAAGACTGGCCCATTTTCATTGCAATTCAGATGAATAAGGAACGATTAAATTGACGTGCGAGATTCTGAGAGGGCTTGACAAGGGAGATGCTGAAAGAAAGTTTTCCCTTGTGGGAGACACTAGAACTATGTGCAGACTTTAAAAATAAGTGGTATCTCTTTCATGTGGAAATTAGGAGGAATTTCTTCACTTTGGACAGTCGTTAGTTCTAGGGAGTTTCTTCCCAGGAAGCAGTGTATTCTCAGACATTGAGCATACTTAAGGCTGAGCTGGACAGTTTTTCGATCAGAGGAGCCAGACATTATGGGAGTGGTGGGCAGGAAAATTGAGCTAAGACCACAGTCAGATCAGGCATGGTCTTCTTGAATGGCATAGTAGGCTTGAAGGGGGCTGAATGGCCATCTCCTACTCCTATTTCTTATGATCTTTCAACAGGTTTTGACTGAGCTTCTGTAATTCAACATGTGATCTGATTTGTCAAGCCTCATTTAACTATTGCTTGTGCAAAGCAGGGAACTTGATTCTACAAGTCTATTAATTAAGTGTACATCTATGTTCACTTTGTTTTTACAACTTGCTTGTTTGAAGATAAAATTATTCCTTCTCAATGTAAGTCAACACTATTGGAATCATCACCAAAATTTCGAATTAGGGCCACTGTTAAAGGAAGGATATCATTAAGCTGGCGAAGGTTCAGAAGAGATTCACCAGGATGTTGCCGGGACTGGGAGTTTAGAGTTTTAGGGAGAGGCTGGATAGGCTGGGACTTCTTTCGCTGGAGTGTAAGAAGTTGAGGGGTGACCCTATAGAGGCTTATAAAATCATGGGGAATATAGGTAAGGGTGAATGGCAGGTGTGGGAGATCTCCCTAGGGTGGGAGATTTCAAGACAAGGGGATTTTTTTTAAGGTGATAGGAGAAAGATTTAAAAAAGACTTGAGGGGCAACTATTTTACACAGAGAGTGGTTCGTGCGTGGAATGAACCTCCTGCGGAAGTGGTGGATGTGGATACAGTTACAATGTTTACAAGACATTTAGATAAGTACATGAATAAGAAATGTTTGGAGCAATATAGGCCAAATGCAGGCAAATGGGACTCAGTTAGTTTGGGATTATGGTCAGCACAGACTGGTTGGACTGAAGGGTCTGTTTCCGTATTGTATGACTCTATAAGTCTGTTTAAAAATCATTGGTTGCCCATTTAAAATAGTTGCATGAAATTCTTTTTCAGACCCATGACTCTTCACAATTCTCTACCTAAACCGGTTGTAGAAAATGAGTCCCTGAATAATTTTGAGGCAGAAGTAGATCGATTATTTTTAAGGATGTGGCTGAAAAATTATCAGGGGTCAGCGGGAATGTTGATTTAATATTACTATCAAATCAGCCAGGGAGGAGTAGGTTTGAAGGGCTGAATGGCCTACTCCTGTTCCTAGCAGTGTGAAAAGTAATCTCATAGCCATCTGATTTTTCTTCAATTTTGATACAAAGCAGAAATTAAACTAAATTCTTCATTTATATCTGACAATGCTTTTAAACACCATGTAAGTTGACTTCACTTGAAATAAAACCCAATTGGTATTATAGCTACTGAAAAATACAGGTTAGGATTTTGACAGTGCATGGTAAGAGACCTTGGGGTGCATGTTCATAGCTCCTTGAAGGCGGAGTCACAAGTAGAGAGGGTAGTAAAGAAAAGGTGGTTTTTGGTACACTTGCCTTTATTGGCCAGTGTATTGTGGAAAGGAGTGAGGAGGTCGTGTTGCAGCTGTACAGGACATTGGTTAGGCCACTTTTAGAACAGAGTGTTCAATTCTGGTCTCCCTGCTATAGGAAAGATGTTGTGAAACCTGAAAGGGCTCAGAAAAGATTTACAAGAATGTTGCCAGGGTTAGAGGGTTTGAGCTATAGGGAGAGGCTGAATAAACTGGGGCTATTTTCTCTGGAGTGTTGGAGGATGAGGGGTGACCTTCTGGAAGTTTATAAAATCATGAGGGGCATGGATGGGGTAAATAGTCAAGGTCTTTACCCCAGGGTAAGCGAGTCCAAAACTAGAGGGCATAGGTTTAAGGTGAGAGGGGAAAGATTTTCAAGAGACCCAAGGGGAAACTTTTTTCATGCAGAGGGTGGTGCATGTATGGAATGAGCTGCCAGAGGTAGTGGTGGAGGCTGGTATTATTACAACATTTAAAAGGCATCTGGATGGGTGTATGAATAGGAAAGGTTAGAGGAATATGAGCCCAATACTGGCAAATGGGACTAGATTAATATAGAATATCTGATTAGCATGGACAAGTTGAACTGAAGGGTCTGTTTTCATGCTGTATATCTTTGTGACTATATTAACTGGATGTTATCAAGTGGGCAAGTGGGCAACCTGTGCCAGATCCCTCCAGCTTTTTATTTACATTGAAGTGTAATTCAGTAACTGCAACAGATTAGAGAAAGTAGACTTGTTCTCCTGAGAGGAAAGAAGGTTAAGAGAAGATTTGATCAAGGGTCTCAAAATCACAAGGCATCTAGACAGAGCTCAAGGAGAGAAACTGTTCTCATTAGCAGAAGGATCAAGAGCACGAGAACACATATTTAAGGTTTGCAGAAAGGAGAGCCCTTTTTATACGGCAAGTTAGGATTTGGAATGCACTGCCTGAGTGCATGATTGAGACAAATTCAAATTGTAGTTTTCAGAAGGGAATTAGATAATTACAAGAAAAGAAAAAAATTGCAGGGCCATGGGGAAATGGTTTGGGGTTGAGTCTGGCTGCAATGTCCAATGTTCTGTCCAACTATTCTATGATAAGTAAAACAGGCTGTCGGCTTGCTGTTATTCTTTGTACCATTTTAAACTCTTGCATAAACTCAAGATGTACTCTGAAGCATTAGTTGCAAGATGCTCAGGCCTGGGTTGCTCATTCTTCTCACTTACCCAGTCAGCATGGGTCAGATACTGCAGCTTATGTGTTACTAGAGCTACAGTTCGCTTGTCTTCACGGAGAAATTTAAGGATTCCTTCTTGCATGAGGTGATCACTCAGGTGAATATCCAATGCAGAGAATGGATCATCCTGATGGGGGACAGAAACAGTGTAAATGTTGTGATTTTATAGAAACAGACAAATGTTTTAAGCAGAGAATACATTTCCTGTACTTGATGAAATTACCAAAAAGCTTGGTGAGATTATGAGGTAGAAAGCCATTTAATACACTTTTAACTAAGGTTGATAAGGCAATTTGGATCAGATGACTTCTAACTGCTCCATCCCACACTCTTGCCGTAAGTCACCCAACATCCCATATACATAGTGGTAGCCTTCCTGCGCCAACTACCAATCAGAACAATTCTTGACTGCCAGTCAAACAGCTCTTTAATCTATCTCCGATTGTCTATTTTCCCAAACCCACTGGTTTTGATCCTAGTTTTCTCACCATAATCTGTATTTCTTGTGGGCTTCTGGAGAGTATGGGAGAGTTGACAATAACTCTTGTATCAGAAATAAGAGCTGCCCTGTAGAACATAATATACTATGGCTCTTTCTGGAAAGTGGGAATATAGGAATAGGAGAAGGCTAGTAAGCTCTTTGAGCCTGTTCCACCATTTATATTGATCTGTACTCAACTCAATTTGAACCATTTGAATCTTCGATCCATATTGCTTGATACCCTTATCTCAGAAAAATCAACTGACTTCAGTCTGAAAAACTCCAATTATGCAAGAGCCTATGGCTTTTGTTTTGGGAGGTGGGGTGAGAGATTTTAAGAGTTCTACTAGCCTTTGATTGAAAAAGTCCTTCCTGATCTTACTCCCGAATTGGCTAATTAATCCTATTCTTCAAATTATGCCTCTTCAGTCTGGAATTACTCATCAAAAGTAAATTTTTTTCTGCATCAAATCTATAAGAACTTCTTATCAATTATAAACCTCTATTAGATCAGTCCTCAACCATCTACTCACAAGAGAAATTTAACCACATAGATGTATCTATTGTTCATAATTTAATCTTTTTAACTTTAGTATCACTTTTGTAAACCTCCAACTATTGCACAAGTCCTGTTCCTTAGTTAGTTTAGGGCCAACAGAGCTTTGTGTAGCTTTTAAACATGCTGTTGTGTACTGTCCAAGCTAAACAAAGTATCAGAACCTTGCAGTTTTGGCACTGTTTTGCTAACCAATAAACAAATGGCATTTTCCAATGCTGCTGTGACAATTATCGTGCACAGTTAGTTTGCTTTAAAACTTTAAATAGAAGGACTGTCACAAAGTAAATGTTAAGTAATTGTTAGGCTCTCTGGCATTTCCAAAACCAACAGCTGTCGAACATTTAGGGCAATCATCCATTCTTCAGCAACTGCCACAGTTGTAATATACCCAAAAGACTTTCCAAAGACTATGATGAATTGGCTACCATCTGCTGATTTTTTTGCTGAGTCAGGGAGATAACTCTAAAGGCCTCACAGTGTCTGCAGGACAAACAAACAATTACATATAGAGATAGTAAGAACTGCCGATGTTGGAGTCAAACATAACAGTGTGGAGCTGGAGGAACACAGCAGGCCAGGCAGCATTAGAGGAGCAGGAAAGTTGACATTTTGGGTCATGAAATTTCTGAAGAAGGATCCCTATCCGAAACGTCAACTTTCCTGCTCCTCTGATGCTGCCTGGCCTGCTGTGTTCTTCTAGCTCCACAAACAATTACATATATATTTTTATTCCCACTACTGTTGAGAAAGTTAAATTAGCAAGAATGACTCAAATGATGAGTGAAAAATCCCATTATCCAAGGAGGAGCAGGAATTCCTCAGTTTATGAAAGGATTTAAATCCCTTTAAAGGATTCCAATACCAGACCCTTCGAAAAAACACTGTTGATTAAACAATCAGACAGACTGCTGGGAAATTTTGTAAAGAGGATAACACCAAATATTCTGTATAATTTTCAGCTGATCAACAAAGAAGCTAAAACAGAATCAAAGCACATAATTCCCAATGAAAAGCATGATTTCTTACCAGGAATACTGTACTTGTGTTTTGATACAGGGCTCGAGCTACACAGATTCTCTGTTTCTGACCTCCACTCAGGTTAATTCCCTGTGCCAGCAAAGAGATCACATTATTAATATAATTGTATTTTGATGCAGAATATTTTTTAAAAAAACATTATATTGTAAAATGCTTTGTCTCCATACTTATAGAATTGTTGAAATAGCACTGTCATGATCCAATAAACGGGCTTGGTGGATTATATTAAGTGGAAAACTAAAAACACTGAGGTGATTTACTGGTAATGACAGGCAATTCTAAAACAGAAATGGAAACATGAACCCCATGGTTATACTCAGGTACAGGGTCATGTATTCATTATCCAGCAGAACTGTGATGTGTAAAAGCTAGAAGCTATGTCTCAATGGTCCACTCCTGATAATGGTGACATGAACACAACCTTGCACAAGGATGTAGTGGACAAAACACAAGGTACCACGCAACCACAGTGCCTGTAATCCATCCAGTTACCAATAACATTGTATCTTACTCATGCTTACACAGGGTTGCCATTGCTGGCTAGTCTTTTAGCACTGTAATTGTAAAAAAAGTGGAACTCTAAAATGCAACAATCCAACAATTTGTTTGTAAATCCATCCCACTTCTACATAGAAGCAAAAGGACGATCTGGCAATTTAGATTGTTTTGAATCATTTTACTCATGTACTCATGATTTGAATTTTACATTCACAAATCTGATGCATTCAGCAGGATCGTGTGTTGAAAACAAGTGCTTTTCTTCTGATCTCTTCAACCACTCCATCCAGTTCTACAGTGATTATTTTCTAAAGTGAATTGCTGAGATAGCCACAATATCCAGGCATTGTCATTCATGTAAAAGCAAGCCTGACTCCATGAGGGTTAGGTCACTTTCAGTGGTAGTACAGAACAGGCCAGTTGTGAATTAGTAGCCAGTGTAGCCCAATGCCTATCAGTGAGTACTACTGCCCAAAATGAGTATCACCCCAATAGGGTCTTGATATAAATTCAGAATTCTAAGTACATAGGAGCATTCAAGACCTTAATCAAGCTTGTGAATAGAATCGTTTGGAAAAAAGTAATATATTTCCCAGTGTTTACCCTCTCTCCAATCTCGGTTTGGTCTCCAAATGGTAACAGGTCAATGTCAGGCTGAAGGGAGCAGGCATCAATGACGGCTTTGTACCTTAGAGGGTGAGAAATGAAAGTGGTGAGTGCCACAGAATGTTTCCATCTAAATTAAAGTGATTCTTCAATAGTGCTCACGATTTTGAATGAACGTAGGACATTAACTTTGGAGGCTATGTAAATATCAGCCCAAATGCAAACACGAGCATTGCAATGGGCAGGAGCAGAACCAAAGGAAGAATGTTAACAAAGATTCATAAACTTTTGATTCCGTTTAGGGAGAAAACCAATGTTAAGGATTCTTAATTGACAAGTTACAAAGACATATCTTCAAAATGCATTAATAGAAGATTGGCTGGCTGTGTAAGCATAAATGGGTCTTTGCCTAATTGGTAGGATGTGGTAAATGGTAACCCACAAGGGTCTGTTCTGGGAGTTCAACTTTTTGACAATTTACACCAAGAACGTAGACGAAAGGAATAAAGGCAAAGTGGCTAAATTCGCAAATTACACAAAGATGAGTCAGTGAGTATGTTGTGAAGAGGACATCAGGAGTTTGCGGGCAGTTATAGATAAGTTAAGTGAGTGAGTAAAATATGTCACTTGGAGTATAATGTGGGAAAAGGTGAGATTGTTCACTTTATCAGGAAGAATGAAAAAGCAGAGTATTAATTACATCAAGAACAACTTCAGAATTCCTAAGTGCAGGGGAATTTAACTGTTTAAAGCATGAGTCAGAAGATAGGATGGAGATACAGCTCATAATCAAGAAGGCTAATGGAATGCAATTCTTTATTAAGAGAGGTATTGAACACAAAAGTAAGGATGTTAAACTTCAGTTATACTGGACATTGTTGAGACTGTTTCTCAAGTACTCTGTGTGCAGTGTTGCTCTTCTTATTTAAAGCAGAAAGCACTTGAGGTGACAAGATTGGTATCTGGAATGAGTGGGTTCTCTTATGAGGATAGGTTAGACTGCTCGTCTTGTTTTCAAGTGAGGAGTGACTTGAATGAGGCTTATACATTCCTGAAATGGTCTTGACAAAATGAACCCATCAGCGTCAAAAGCTCTCACACTCAGCAGCATCTTGGCTAAGGGTGTAGCTGCCAGGTGGAACAGGATGACTGGAATTGGACACAATACTCCAGAAGAGGCCTTACTGATATTCTGTACAATCTCAACAATGTCCCAACTTCTGAGGAAGCTGGATCAAGGTCCACTTTCCTTATGATGGGGTTCAGGTTAATTGCAGTTGAGGTCCTCATATTGCCAAGTAATGACCAGTTAAGGGCCTATTCCCACATGGTCTGTAATAATCTCCCCTCCAGGTTGGAGGAAACAGTGTCAGCCTGCCAAGTGGTAAACCAGTGAGGCAGGTGATCATTTAGGGGAGTGGGGGCAGTCCCTCAGTCTGCACTAGTTAGTGCATGATTAAGGGACTAGACATAAGACAGGGGGATGGTTGCTGAAATCTACCCCTTGTTCTTGCTTCAGACATCCCCTACCTTTAACCCTTAAAGCCACCCCACCCGCACAAAAATGCTGGGACCTTAGTCGTCAGGATTTTTGGTCATAGGAATGGTAATACCAAACTGGAGAGGGTTCAGAAAAAGATTTACCAAAATGTTGCTGTGAATGAAAGGTTTGAGTTATAAGGAGAGGCTTGGATTTTTTTCATGGACTGTATGATGTTGAGGGGTGACCCTATCGAGGTTTATAAAATCATGAGGGCCATAAATAAGGCAAATGGCGTCTTTTCCCTAGGGTGGGGGATGTCAAGACTAGAGGCCATATTTTTAAGGTGAGAGGAGAAAGATTTAAAGGACATGAGGGGAAACCTTTTTTTAATGCAGATTGTGGTTCATGTGTGGCATGAACTTCCAGAGGAAGTGGTGGATGCGAGTAAAATTACAATGTTTGAAAGACATTTGGATAAGCACATGAATAGGAAAGATTTGGAGGGATATGGGCCAAGTGCAGGCAGGTGGGACTAGTTTAGTTTGGGATTATGGTCGGCATGGACTGGTTGAACTGAAGGATCTGGTTCCATGTTGTATGACTCTATCTCTAACTTACTTCAGGCAGAGAGGGAAAGGCAACAGGTTTCTTGGAACCCACCTGAGTAAACTGCCTTCCTGTCTCCAAGCTCTCCTCCTTCAGGCTTGAAAGATTATGCCCATGATGTGGACATATAGGGTGATCCATTTTAACAGCAAGAATAGGAAGATCGCTTGTTACTTGGAAGGTACAAGTCATGGTGGGTGAACACTCAGAGTACAAACAGATCACTCACTAAAAACTGTGCCACAACTTAGCAAGTACATTAAAAAAAAACCAAGCACTCCACTTTATTCCCAGAGGGAAAGAACTGAAAAGTAGAAGTTACACTAAACCTATGTCGAACCTTATTTGGACCACACTTATAGAATTGTATGTGGCTGAGGGCTACCATTCATTGTGTTGCTTTTCCTTTAACTGTTCAAGGAGAAAGACCATTGGACACAATGTTCACAAGATCTCGGATGCGACATTACTGTATACTTATTACTATCACGAGTCAGAAATTGAGGTGCAAGTATAGTGAATGTGAACAGTGAGGGTAAAATTCCAACACACATTAACTTGCCGTGGGATGTATTATTGCAGCATTTTCCAGCCCATTCTTTTCACTTTGCCCCAAGTTACAGTAGCTTTAATTACCTTTGCTTTATAAAGGGGCTCCCAAACGTGATGTTCTCCTCCACAGTTGTGTTTAGGAGCCAAGGTTTCTGAGCAGAATAAGCAACAGAGTTTCGGTTTCTGCTCAAAATTGAAGTAAACAGTTATTTCATTCCAATAGAAAACAGCAACTTCATCACATTTTTAAAAAGCACAAAGCAATTAGGATAGAATGGCCCTGATTCAAAACAGTCATGACAGATTATTGCTCTCATTGAACTTCTATTTTGTTTATATTTTGCAATGTTTTGAATTGCTATTGAAAACAGGGCTAGTCATAGCATGTATATAGTGTCCCGTTTCCCCTAGTTCTTTTTTTGTTGTTATTTCCTCCCTTTAAAGTTCTTCGTTCTAACCTAATCTCTTTTCCCTTTTCCAAATCAGTCTATGCTGTGTTTCTTGCTTCAGAGCTCTCTATGATCTACCATCCATTAGAGAGATGGAGGCACTGTGCTTTTAATCTGGAGTAGGGAATCCAATGTCCACGTCATTTCTAGGCCCCTATCTCTCATCACAGTAACCTCAATGACACAATGTGATTTACAAATGCAAACGGTTAAATTGGCTCAGAGGAAAGTTCAGTGTCACGCCATTTAGTAGCAGTTGGAAAGGCCTGCAGTTGGGGCATGGTTACTTTGTCAGGGGCCACCATGCCATCCACTGCTGTGATGGATTATCAGACACCTCAGCACTGATGTGGGCACGCACCCATGGGAAATGGACAAGAACTCATGCTGCCACACCATTAGATGTACTTTAGGATCACATGAGTAATATTTTCCCAGACTGTTTCACTAACTCTCCCTTTAATAGTTATTGCTTTGGCCTTCGATCCAATTTGAATGTTCTTATTTCTTGTCAGAAACTGTTGGCAATGCAGACCACATTCTCAATGTTTTTGGGCAACTATGGATTAGTTTAGTACATGCTGAATGATTTTTCTCTCTCCGACAGAAGGTAGATTGCAGACTTGTTTGACTAAGAGGTGCTCAGTTAATACTGACATGGTGCTGAATTAATATTGGGCTTGCTACCATGCCAGCCACCTCATGGCCCTGAGGCTTAGGATGACTTTGGCCATGTTCCCCCTCTTAGGCCTGGATGCAGTTTGAACTGCTACGTCTCCTTCTTTCCTCGTCCCCATCCTGCTCCACGGAAGGTTGTAGTGTTCCAGGTCCTTCCTCTTCCTCCATCCCCAGATCTCTTCATATCATACAGCACCCAACAGACAACCACAAACATAATAAACCTTGGCTGGTTCGTACAGGAAGCCAACATGCACTGACTGTTCAAGCCAATGACAGCACATGTCACTGGCCTGTCCAATGTAAGTGTGTGGCATTGTCTGTAGTATCTATATCTGTGGCTGAATGCAAGGAGCCACATCTTCAGAGGGCAATGCTCATGCCCCAAGAGACACCCACAGTGTCTGGATGTTGGTCTAAACAGTTGGCACACCTGGTACTTTCACAGGATGAAGGAATCCATCACAGCCACCCAGGAAACAGGCACAGATTTGCAATATGTGCTTCCTGTAGTCCCATATCAACTGGAGATTCATTAAGTCAAAATCTGTTCTCTTGAGAAATCTGGCTGGTCTGTCAGTGTCTTGATGCATATGTGGATACAGTTGATAACCCTCTATACCTCAGGGAATAAGGTGGCAGTAAATCCAAAGACTGTCTGTGCTGCCCTGGTCCATTATTCTCAGAATGGACATAATCCCCATCAACCAGTGTAGGAAAACTGTGACTTTGAGGGTGTGATGATCTACTAGCTATGCAATATCATTCAGGTCCACAACAGATGACTGGAATGACCCAGATTCAGGATAACAATGTCCTTCGGTGAAGATATGGGACTCCCGTTAGAGCCATGGAGCCTTGTGTCATTGTTGAGCACAATGCAAATACTCAAGACCAACTGCCTAGATACTAGGTTTGAGAAGTTAGAACCATGGTGTAAGACTGAACTGGTTGGAGTACTTCCCTCTATGAAGGAAGGATAAGAAATGATCTAATACAGGGCTATAAAATTATGAAGAGATTTGGTGGGTTGACATAGATGAGAAAGAGCCATTTGTAGGGCATCCAAAACCAGTGTTCATAATTGTAAGACAATCATTAATAAATCCAATACCAAAATCAGAAGGAACTTCTTTCCCCAGAGAGCAGTTAGAAAGTGGAACTTACTACTGCAGGCAAAAAGCATAAATGCATTCAAATAGAAACTAGACAAGCACATGTGATAGAAAGGGTGAGAGAAGATCTACCGGGAATGTCAGATAATTAGGGAGGTGGTTCTTAGGGTACAAGCATAGACCTAGGGGGTCACATGGACAGGTAATTCCATGCACGATATGGGTGTCTTGGTCGGCCATTTGAGATTCCCTGTTCTGATTTTAAAATTCTCTCAAGCAACTACCAGGATGCTTGAAGCTAAATTAGATGCACCTTATGTCTTTTCTCTCTCCTCGTCTGTGTTTCTACGTTTTAAATGTAACAGAAAATGTCCTTTCCTTCCATTCATTCTCCGATCACCTCCTTCAACATCTTCTCAGCAGAGGCCCAATCCAATTTATGTGCCTTGTTTTCTGTAAGCAGCAGCCCAATTGCTGAATGAGAAGTTACTGTAACTGCAAGATTAGACATGAATGATCCTGTCTTGACGTTTAATCCACTAGCCTTAATCTTGCAGCTAAAAGCCAAGGTTCAATTATTTCCCATTATTCTGTTTCCTGTTGACACTTTTAGCACAAACCTCTTTGTTTTCAATCCCCACATACAATCCTGGGGGATTTAATTGCTGAAAGGACAGGTTAATAAAGTGGAGATTATTGCTTGGAGGTAGTGTTCCTGCCTGAGAATCAATACATATGAAGTTCAAACCCTATTCCAGCTTAGTCCTGGTAAGAGAGATCCAGCTCTACACACGAGTGGTGGGCAATGACAGACTGGTATAATGAAGCCAGTTGTATTGGTGCTGGTCCCAAGCCAAGATTAAAGGAAAATGGCAGCAAACACATGGGAAGTCCACCACCTGCAATGTTGCACTCCAAAGTTGCATCATCCTGACGTGGAACTATATTAACATTCCTTCAAGTTAAAATGTTGGAATTCCCTTCCCAAAAGAACTGTGGACCAGATTGACTGAAAATGTTCAAGGAGGTGGCTCACCACCACATTCCGCAGGAAATTTTGGGATGGGCAATAAATACTGTCCTTGCCAGTGATGCTTTGAAAAGAAACATGTTCAACATATGTTTACCTTGACCTTTAGAGATCTTACCTGAAGTATGTGAGGGTCTCATGCTTCTGCAAATATTTTGAGTTTGGCACCAGAAGTAGGATCAGCAATGCCATTACAGTCTCTGCCCAATTCCCACCCAACGACCATGGGCGGGACAGACAGGAAGATGGCCAATGTCAATCTAAACTAAATAGCTCTTGAGCAAAGTTGGGTGGAGTGTGAGGACTCATTTTTGGGCAGTCACTGGTGGATTTCAATCCTCAAAAGGCATCTAATGGCAAGAAGGTACAGCTGCAAATTCCACAAAAAGAGCTGCCTGCCCCGCTGAGGTGTTGCGTGGTTTCCCTCTACCTGGCACCCCCTTTAAGCTGCTGCTGTAGGTCTTTCTCCTTTGGATATCTAACTGGATTGTCCATTGTCTGATGGACAGACTGCCTGTTGATGCGAATGAGCATTCCTCTCACCACATTGTACTGAGGAATGCCAGCTGTAACGCATTAGGTTTTACACAACTTTGTGGAACGGGAACGAGGAAGGGGGCCAAATTTGCTAAAGTCTGTCAATCTTATGCGGACCCCCTTCTGACCTAGTATCCTTTGTATATCTTCAAGGATTGTTGAAACTGTCAAAGATGGAAATTAACCATTGCGTCTGCCATGCTAATTAATTTTAGGTTGGGCTAAACATGATCACAATTGACAGGCACCACATGCCATTACACACATTACACACAGAAGCGGCCTTTCACTGAAGGTCAGTAATGGCTTTGACAGAATCAGGGCCATAGTAGCCAAGTTGCAGAGAAACACTGCTATGAAAAAGAAGGAAGAGTGGAAAATGGCAGAAAATGCAATGATTAGTTACAAGTGTAAAAAGCATTACCACTGGTGTGATGGTTATCAGGATGAAGTGTCACTAGAAAAACAATACATGACACAATTAGTGAATTGGATAAGAGTAAGATAGAGTACCTCCCAGTCACCTCGAACACAGGGTCAACCTCATGTGCACTGCAATTTATGGTAAAACCAAGTTAGCAAAAAAAAGCTTTTGAGGTAGTAACTGACTTACTTTAAAAAAAACTGAAGCTTTCTGGTTTTAATTTTTTTGTCACTCACTGGATATGCTGCTTCTTAAAGGGCATAAGTGAAAGGGAACAAGACATAATGCACCACTGCAAAAATATAAAACCCCAGGTGATGACCTTGAAAGTGTCTCTTAATCTTAGGAAATGACTATCAAGGAATATACAAAGTCTCTCTTCCCAACACATCCAGCTGTTTTATAGAATGTCACAAAATCAAAGCCTTTAATAGTTGAAAAGGCTTGATTGTGTAAACAAAGAGACACTGTTTCCTCTGGCGGGGGTAGACCAGAACAAAGGAATGTAACAGTAAAATTATGAAAAATATTTCAACATTTAAAAACATTTAGTAAAATTAAAAAATAGCCAAGTGATTCAGGAAGTTCTTCATTGCATAACAGGCTGTGGAATCTAAATGGTCTCCTCCAAAAGGCTGTTAAAATAGACACCAACAGGGAAACAGACTATACCGTTCAACCAGTCCACACCAACCATGTTCCAAAACTAAATTAGTCCCACCTGCCTACGCTTGCCCCTTTTCCCTCCCAACATTTCTTATTCATGTACTTATCTAAATGTCTTTTAAATGTTGTAACTGTACCTGCATGCACACTTCCTCTGGAAGTTCATTTCACACACAAACCACTCTCTGTGTAAAAGAGTTGCTCCTTATGTCTTTTTAAAATCTTTCTCCTCTTATTTAAAAATATGTCCCGTAGTCTTGAAATCCCCCACCCTCGGGAAAAGACACCTGCCATTCACTTTATCCATACACCTCATGATTTTATAAACCTCTTTAAGGTCACCCCCCGACCTCCTACACTCCAGTGAAAAAAAAAAAGTCCCAGCCTATCCAGCCTCTCCTTTATAACTCAAACCTACCATTCCCAGCAACATCCTGGTAAATCTTTTCTGAGCCCCCTCCAGTTTAATAATATCTTTCCTTATAACAGGATGACCAGAATTGGACACAGTAATCCAGAAGAGGCCTCATCAACGTCCTGTACAACTTCAACATGGCGTCCCAACTCCTATACTCAAGGGTCTGAGCAATGAAGGCAAGTGTGCTCAATACCTTCTTGCACTCAACTGAAAATATCAATAATGCCTTAGTGTTAAGCAAGTGTAGGGCAGAAAATGGGAGCTTGCAGTTAAAGTGCAGGCCAGAAATGATTTGATCAAATGGAAGCACAGGTAGGTTTGAGGGTTGGGGGTGAATGGTCTCCCTCTGGTTCTGTGTTGCCTGTGGAGCCAGCATCAAGATCAAGGGAATCTTGAAATTTGGGAGGGAAATTGGGAAGCAAATTTTCACATGAATGGTAGTGCAAATCCAGGACACTCTACTTCAAAAGGCTATGGGTGCTGAGGTACAATTGGAGCTTTGAAGGCTGAGATTATTAGACTTGTACTGGGTAAGGGTGTCAAAGTATATGCAGTAAAGGCTCATGCATGAAGGATGAGCAGTAAGTACCAGAAAAAGGGCAGGCACTTGTAGAACTGTATCTTAAAAGAAGGGAACAGAAGAAACCTGGAGGGAACAATTAATTCCAAATACAGAAACAGTGTTCAGACAATAAAGTGAAGAAGAAAACAACATTCTTCAAAATAAGATGGTTCGAATAAACTGGATCAGTCATCATTCAGAACACTTAAAAACATTCTACCTGGGGCAAATTAGTATGAAAATTAAATGTAGCTCAAAATACCTTAATGTTGCATCCTGGTTCATTTCATTTGCAGGCTCTCTGTAATTTACATCAAAAACAAAAAAAAATAACTATCCACAAGATTAGACAACATTGGAAAATACAATGACGATGAGCTCAGTTGCTGTTGATTATGATATTTAACATTAAAAGATTGATCATTTAGGTCATAAATTCTGCAGTAGTTTCCTGCACTTCAACTACATTTACAGAGTTAAAGATGCACTTTTTCGCCATAGAATGTTGTATTCAATTGACAGAACTACAACAGAAATAAGCAAACATCCAGATTCTGATAGCATTCCATACAGCATTCAGTAATTTACTTTGCAGATGTGGCAACACGTTACAATATCTAGCACTTCAACATCACTTTATCATTGTTAACCCTATATGACAATTCAACAATCCCCCTCCCTCCGTAAGAACTCATTCAACAGGAAGACTACCAGGGTAGTCTATGCCGGCAAACCAATTATATTACCGAGAAACTTGCTTATGCTTGTACTAACATATGGTCACAGTTACCCTTCCTTCCAAGTCCTAGAATCATAGAATTATAGAATCCTTACAGTGCAGACAAAGGCCATTTGGCCTATCGAGTCTGCACAACCCTCTGAAGGGCAACCCACCCAAACTCACATCCCCACCCTACCCCTGTAACCCTGCATTTCCCATGGCTAATCCACATAGCCTGCACATCCCTGGCCACTATGGACAATTTAGCATGGCCAATCCACCGTAACCTGCGCATTGTTAGACCTGTCATCTGCACATGCTATTTACTTCAAATATGCTGAAATCTATAGTGATTGTTTTATAGAGCTTGTGTTACCACTGGTCAAAGATAATCCTTTTGCATTTTTATGACAACTTTAACATAGAAATAATATTACAATGTGCTTTACAGATAAGCGAGCAGAACATGGACAGAGCTAATAGAGGAGACGTGGAAGGTAAACAGGCAGAAGATTAGGAGAGGGAATCTCTGAACTTGGAATTTAGGTGTCTTAAGGCACAACTGCTAATAACTGAATATGGCATCAAGGAGTCCTGCCAAAATTGACGCCAATGGGAATCAAGGGGAAAGGTCTCTGCTGGTTGGACACATACATAAAACAGTGGATGATGGTTATATTTGTTGGAGGCCAATCATCTCAACCCCAGGATATCATTGAGGTGCTCCTCAGAGTACCGTCCTATTCCCAATCATATTTGGCTGTTTCATCAATGACCTTGCTTCTATTAAATGGTAAGAAGTGGGGATGATCACTAATATTTGCACAGACTTCAGGTGCATTTGTAACTTCTTGTGTGCAGAAGCAGCTGATGTCTGCAAGCAACAAGACCTGGACAACATCCAGGATGATAAGTGGTCAGTAACATTCATATCAGGCAATGACCATCTCCAACCAGAAAGAATCTAACCACTGCCCCTTGACCTTCAACAGTATTACCATTGCTGAATCCCTCACTGTCAACATCCTATGGGTTACTACTGACCAAAACTGAACTCCATCAGCCACACAAATATTGTAGCTACAAGAGTCAGTCAGAGACTGGGAACTTTGAGGTGAGTAATGAACAACCTATAACCCCAAACCTGTCCACTACCTACAAAGGAAAAGAAATAAGTGTGATGGATTCTTCCCCTCATGCCTGGATGAGTGCAGCTCTAACACTGTTCAAGAAGGTTGACACCATCCAGGACAAAGTAATCCACTTCATCTGACACCCATCGTGACCTTACATGTTTGCTCCCTCCATCACCGATCTGCAGTCCCAGCAGTACTTCCAAACCTTTGCCACATAGAAGGACAGGGGCAGTAGAAGTCTGGCAACACCACCACTTGTAATTCTTTTCCAAGGTACACACCATCCTGACTTGGAACCACATCACTATTCCTTAATTGTCACTGGTTCAACATTCTGCTACTCCCTTCATGTTGTTACAATGGGAGTACCTACAACAGTTGGACTGCAAGAGTTCAAGAACGCAGTTCACCACCAACTTCTCAAGGGGCATTTGAAATGGGGAAAAATTGTTGGTTTTGCCTGTAATGCCCATATCCCATAAAAGAATTGATGTGTCCTCCATCTACAAGGCACAAGTCAAATGTATGATGGAATACTTTCCACTTGCTTTGAAACTTGACAACTAGGGGGAAAAAAAAGCAATGCATTTGATTGGCACCTCATCCTTAACCTTAAATGTTCCCTAGCTCCACACCATCATCAGGCAGTGGCAGTATTGTGAAATATCTACAAAATGCACTGCAGCAACTCACCAAGGTTCCTTTAATAGCATCTTCCAAAGCCATAACCTCTGTTCCCTCAATGGACAAGAACAGGAGGAACAGCACCACTTTCAAATCCCCCACCAAGCCACCCATCATCCTGACTTGGATATATATTCTCATTCCTTCACTGTTGTAGGGTTAAAATTCTGGAACACCCTTCCTAACAGCACTGTGGACGCACTTACAACATCTGGATTGGAACAGTTCAAGGAGGAAGCCTGCATCCTAAGAACAAATTTTAAAATATGATGCTGCGAATGAAAATCGGGATTCTGAAGAGGCAAGAATCAGAGAGATGGAGAGTATACCACATAGTGAGGGCCGTCTGTCTACGTTTTGCAACAGGGAAATAAAATGAGGTGATCTTCTTCATTGTTGCTGACAATTATTTTACTTACTTGCTCCAGTAAACTTTCCCAGAAACTTTCAACATTTCTCCAAGGGTAGCAAGGAGAAGTGAAGATTTTCCACATCCCACTTGACCGACAATCATCGTCAGTTGACCTGGGAAGAAATTATAATCAAGGAACTGTTCATCACTCCTGTAGTGAATAATCTGTCACAAAACCTTTTCCAGAAAGTTGCTTTAGGCAAAATGAGTAGTGTTGCAGAAACCTTAAAATAGCTTGCTTTTTAATAAGGTTGTAAAAAAGTCAATCTAAGAGATGGTGTAAATAAGGTCACTCAGAGTTCATAACACAGTCTTGATGTCATTAATCTATTCATATTCCCTTTCTTCTTCATGGTTATATTCTCAACTGCAAGTTTTTTTACACGAAATTAAGGAGATGACTAAAATGTTATCATTTCACTTACTCTTAACCAACACGAGAGGTGCATAAAATGGAGAACAGACAACAAAGCGTAAGAACTCCACTCTCTAATCTAGTATTTTGGAAAATGTGATTTTCTTATCAAATTAAGCTTTGCGTCAATTTAGATTTGAGTTCTGCCAATGTTAGTTTGGAGACATTAAACATCAAACTTAGGTATTTCTTGAGTTGGGGATATCTTGTGTCTTTCAGGACAATCTGCAAATTCCTTGTTCATCAAATCTGGAAAGGTCAAATGTTCTAATTAAATACGGTGATAGCTTGCATCGTAAAACATGTCTTAGTGCTTCATAGCACAGTTAACAAACAACATTTGGCATTGAGGAGATACAAGAACTCATGGGCTTGGTAAGGAAAGGAGACGTGAAGAACATCTCAATGAAGGAGAGAACAGTAGATAATACTGTCTTTGATTGTCCCATATACAAGGTGAATTGTGAGCACTAGTGGGAGGTCACCAAAAGTTAGATGAGGAGAACAGAGAAAGCAGAAAACAGCAAAAACTCACTGGTGCTGCCACCAGCTTGCAAGGAAATAATAGGTCATAGAATACTTACAGTATGGAAACAGGCCCTTCAGCCCAACAAGTCCATACCAACCCTCAGAGCATCCCACCCAGACTCATCCCCCTATAACCTAATCTACACATCCCTGAACACTATGAGCAATTTAGCATGGCCAATCCACCTAGCCTGCACATCTTTGGACTGTGGGAGGAAACCGGAGCACTGGGAGGAAACCCACACAGACATGGGGAGAATGTGCAAACTCCACACAGACAGTCCCCCGATGGTGGAATCAAACTCAGGTTCCTGGCACTGCGAGGCAGCAGTGCTAACCACTGAGCCACCCCTAAATGGGGAGTGGAGAAAGGGGGTGGGTAGAGGGAGGGGTGAAATAGAGGGATGTGGAAGGAGAATCACAGAATCCCAACAGTGCAGAGAGAAGCCATTCACCCCATTGAGTCTGCATCGACCCTCCAAACAACATACCAATCAGATGCAGCCCTATCCCCATAACCCCGTATTTACAATGGCTAACTGCTGAGCCTACACATCCCTGGACACTATGGGCAATTTAGCCTGGCGGATCCATCTAATCTGCACATGTTTGGACTGTGGGAGGAAACCGGAGCACTGAATGGAAACCCACACCGACACGGGGAGAATGTGCAAACTCCACACAGTCACCCGAGGGTGGGATGAATGCTGAGGTATAAATTCACAAAATGGCAGACTGTTATCAAGCACTTTATAATGATGAGCTAAACAAATTACACATTTTATGCTTGAAAATCAGGGACTAACATTAATACTCATCACCATTCCATTACCTGTGATTATAATATTTTAATTACACGTCTGTCTGTTTTCAGCAAGAGCACTTTACATTTAACATAAAGCTTTAGTAAAAGATTGCTTGTTGCACAAATCACAGAACAAGATTCCTCTCAACAACAGAGGTCGGTACGTTTTACCTGTTGGAATTCTGATGCTGATGTTAGAAAGAGTTGCCATGCCACTACCCCATGAAAAGGACCCATCAGTAACCTGCCATTTAAAAAATATTCTAAAGTGAGGAAGCATTCCATTCAAACCGGCATCAGCAAGTTATTTAGGAGTGTTTTATTTTCATTTATTTCCTAAACATTTGAAATCATTTCACCTTTCCTCATCCTTCAAACTAAATGTATGATTTTGCACTTTGTGTTAAATTTTATTTGCATTTTTCTACTCACTCCACTGATCTACCTATGGACTTCTGAAATCTGTTACTATTCCTCATTTTGTATTGCATTTCTGACTGTAGTATCATTCACAAATTTTGAAATTATGCTCTGTATACCAAGTCCACAGCATTAATATAAATCAGAAATAGTAGTGTCCTGAACAGAGATCCATCAGCCCATCTTTAGTCTGAAAAAAGAACTGTTCACTATTTTTAGGTATAGAGCTGGATGAACATAGCTGGCCAAG